ATACAAAAGAAAATAGCAGATACTGTACTGCAGTTGACAATGTGTCACTTGAAGTTGCTGAAAGGTACATATGTGGCTTGCATTGTTTTTTTTACATGACACTGCCTGGAGACCAATTTATCATGTTATCATTTTGCTACTATTGCTGTGATGTTGGCAGATTTGGCATGTCTCACCGGCATTACATCTGCTGCCTGCCAGGTGAACGAGTGTTTACCGCACCTTCCCAGCTTCAGTGTTGGCATGTCATGAATGCACTCGCGTAAATACTGTCGAGTTCCCTCTGTCTATGGTGCTTGAAAGCGAGTGGCATAGCGCGGTTGGCATGGGCATAGGTAAATGAGCTTAGTGGTTCCCTATTTAATTTCCACCCTTTTTGTATGCCTGGCACCCTGAGTATTTTGGTCATTGGGCTGCGGGGTAGCTGCACTTCCTTCGCACTGAATAGCTATGCCAGCGCTTTATAAAGGACTACACAACCGGAAAAAAAACACAGCATTTTCTGTTGTAGATACACAGCGAGGCTATGTCCAGTTTGAGGCTCCGTTAATAAAAAATATACCGTGGTCATCCAGTACAGACCATAAAACATAATGACGCAATGCCCGATCCACAAATACAAAAGAGACATAGCAGCAGTACACTCCGCTGCTCTTGACGCGGTTATCTGGCTTGACCAACGGAATGTGAAATTGTAGTTGCTCTACATCTACATCAGCCATACAGTTTTTTTTTCATTTATTTAGAATAACCCTGTGAGCCATTCGGCTCTTGATTCGGGTGCAACCGCAACAAACAATAAAATGACAAGATACATTTAAAATTTACTGTACGCAAATTGAGACATCCCCTACAAAAACAATAAAATCTTACAGAAAAAGCACCATTTGTTTATGCTGCTTACTAAACTGTGCAAAAAGTCCCACTTTGATGTTAGATAACAATAATCATAATACAATTTATATTAAACTTTTAAGTCTAACTCTATACTACATCAAAAAATCGGGCTAAACTAACCCTTTCTAGAAATTACTAAAATAATGCTATAAATACAATGTACCAGTGATCATAAGAAATCTGATTGAAATCAGAATCAGAATCAGAAAGGGTTTTATTCGCCATGTAAGTTCACACCGACACGGAATTTACTTTGGCAGGATGGTGCATACATTCAACATATAGGAATCTAAAATCTTAAATAAGTTTTAAACAAGTCTTACTATAATAAGGGTTAAACGTCTAACACCAAGGGGCTGAAGTATATAAAATTAAATAATAGCGACATACATAACATATATTACTAAACCTAGCATCCATCGCTAGCTGCATGAGCCAATCCGTAATAGCAGGAGTAACAATATTAGTAGCAGCACACTATAATCTAAATACATGATAATTTCTCGCCTTGGTCATCTATAGCTATATATTTGATTTCAGGCCACTTTATAGCAGTGGCAGCTAGGGGTGTTGTACGACTCCTCTAGAGCAGTTTTTAGTGATGGTCTTGTAGGTAGTGATACAAGCTGGAGTTTATTTGCGATAGCATGCCAGACCCTGCGGGCATCTATAGCAAAGGCCCTTCCTCCAGTATTTGTAAGGCAATTAGGAAAGCGAAGCTGGTAAATGAGCGAAGATCTTAGCTCATGTTTGTTTTCCGAAACAATGAGGAGATCCAGCAGGTAGTCTGCGGATTTTTTTGTAAGTACATCGTAAATAAATAATATCTGATGCCTAAGCCGTCGATCATTAAGAGATGTTAAGTTTGACTCAATGTAGAGATCACAGTGGTGGGTCCTATATGGGCAGTTCAATGCAAATCTTAAGGCCGAGTGATATATTGAGTCAAACTTCTTCAGAACAGTACTGGGTGCTGATTTATATACGATGTCACAGTAATCTTGTAGAGGCATTATGGTAGCTTTAATCAATTCCAAACGGAACATAGGTGGAAAACAGTGTATGTGTCGATACAGAAAACCATTTTTTATTTGTCTTTTTAATAATATAATCAATGTGTTCTTGAAAATTAAATTTTGAATCAAGGATGACCCCAAGATACGACAGAAGAATCGTTTTTTCGCCTGAGAACGACCGCTTGTGTTGCGATCAAAACGTCGTGATATATTATTTTTTTCTTGGTTCTTTCGGTAAAGTCACGTGACTTTACCGAAAGAACCAAGAAGATGAATCCTTGCAGTCACGAAAGCTTTAAATCGAAATATTATTTTTTGTTTTATTTAATTTTCTACCTACGTGACTTTACCGAAAGAACCAAGAAGATGAATCCTTGCAGTCACGAAAGCTTTAAATGGAAATATTATTTTTTGTTTTATTTAAGTTTCTACCTACGTGACTTTACCGAAAGAACCAAAGAGTATAAAAAAATAAAGATATTTTTAATTCAAGGTCAGGGATTCCATTATAGGACCTTAGTGACCACTTTTGTTTTAAAATATATGGGTGATGTCAGCAGAGTGCTATCTTGGCATGCTTGACCTTAATAAAAATGAAAGTTAAATATCAACATTAACAGGATTGCCTTATGACAGAGACATTTAGAATCGGCTGACATTTGAGACTGCCTCTTCAGAGAAGAGAGAGTTAACATTTGTGCTTCTATCGTTGTCGATTGCACTTTACAGTGTGGAGCCCTGAGAAACCTGGGACATTTGAGTAATTTTGGCACGTGACCAGTTTTAATTGGTAGACATAGACAAGATAAAAAACCCATGAAGTCAAACGGCTGTTTTATAGCCTCACAAAACGTGTGAATTGTCGAATATGCAGTGTGCTGTGCATAACTTCCAACAAAATCCTGAAATCCTTTGCATAAATTAAGTTTTTTTTCCCTCAAACTAATTCACAAAGTCACATGGGACAGCTGTGACACACAGCCAAGGTACATAACGACAATAGCTGTTTTGTGGGTTACATCTAATTTTTTTGCGAGCAGTTCTGTGCTTGTGCGCAGCCAAGAGGCTGAGGGTTTGTACTTGACTGAGTGCGTTTGGGTCTGACTGCCGGTCATGGTGACGGAGCAGTGCACCCTTGTTTCGGTGCGATTTGTTTTGAGGCGTACTCTAAACAAGTGTAATAAATGGTGATGTGTCCCTTTATAATTGAAGACGGGTGCCGTGTGAGGGTCCCAAACATCATCGCGCCACACGTGTCATTTGTCAATCCGCTGCACAATGGGCCGTTTATTCGGTGTGTTTGCAGCAGCTATTAATGTACATATACATTTCGAGCTTGTTTAGTTTGCGCATAACCGATGTGCAAGCTCGTACACGAGCGCTTGCTCGGCTTTGTTTTATAAACCGGTAGCGCGCTCCGTCTCTGTGCGACGACGCTTGGGATGTGTGACGATTGGTAAGCACACCTCCCCTGGGTACGGTCAATTTGCACACATTTGTAATGTGTACAACGCCTACTGTCCAAACGGCCTTTGTTTACAGCTGTACACAATTTAATGTGTGCTATAACAAAGGCCAAAAAACAGAAAGTGTAAACATCTTTACATGAAAAATTTGGTTTGCATAAAATCCTGATTATTCTTATTAGCAACATTTAATGCATTCATCATCCATGATCTCTCTAATTCTGGATGAATGGCACCCCAAGCTATTGCCATCTCTCAAGATCTTGCCGTGTAACGATCCACCCAGCCACCTGCACACTCCCTGTTTTCCTCGCTCTGTCTCCTCGGTGGATGTTCTCTCGGACACGTGGCATTCCTTGGCTATCACTGCCATTCTTTTTGACGATTGGCCGTCATCCCTCGTAGCGACCTGCCTTGCGCAAGCGCACTAACTTGTGTCGCTATGAATGATGTCTAAATTGCGTATCTTCTCTAATCTTCAATAGTAACCGGTGGTGGGTTTTGCCCACTTTGTGGCAGCTTTCTCTTTGCATTACCCTCCTAAGAAAGGAGTTTACTTAGTTGTGGGATGATAGAGATTGTATGTTTTAAATGTTTATGCAAAATTGAAAGCAATTTAACATTTTAGGCTGACCCTACTCCTAGAGTAAAACCAATCAACCTCCAGTCCTTCATTTTTGCAGCTCAGACTCTGAAAATTGATTGTTTCTAGTTATAAGCATATATCTGACTGGGCAATTTCATCTTTTCAGACCTTTAAGAACTTCTTCAGAATTTCAATCGCTCGGTCACAATGATCTGATGTATTAATAATGTACAGCCCCTTTGTCAATTCACTGCGGAATAAGGCCTCCCAAGGCAATGCTAGTCATGGGGGTAATATTACCATACTTCACCACACTGTCAGTGCAGGTTGGTGGTGAAGGGGGGGATGGCAGTTCTCGCTCAGATATCACCTGCCATTGATGTATTATAAAATAATAATGACTGCAACATAACACACATAAACCCCAAGAGGAGTCATACAAATTCCTTCATATTGCGCTATAAATAGATCAACGGTACATCCATAAAACGCGTCCACTGATCTAATGGCCGCTGCGCAGTGATGCGGTTGATCGCTGTCGATGATGACACGTGTGCACGCTCGCCGCACGCTCAATGCAGAGTTTGGAGACGGTTCAGCGTCCAACAGACACGGCTGAAGCGGCTTAGACAAACACGCCCGTGTGTTTATCCACATTGGCGAGCGACGGTTACCTTGAGCGCTAACTGGGGGCTGTTGTAAGGCGTGCTTTCTAAGCCCGTGTTGTGTGGACAGGAGCCCTAATTGGCACAAAGAGGTTAACTAAACGCGCCGCTCGAGTGACTTACGCCACATTCAAGTCATAATTTTCAGACTTCTCACTCCAGTGTGAAGCAATTGAAAGTTTTTTTTATCTGTCTTTAAGAATGACCAGGTTACTTTATTTAAGATTAACGACCCAGTTTAACTATTAAAAATTAAGTGTTCCCTTACCTCTGCCATTTGTCTTTAAGTTTCATTCTGTCTTCTGGGCTCTTGGCTGTGATTGTATTCATTCTGGCGTTGATTTTTATTTTGCTCGCACGCACGACCCAGGGTGCAGCGCACATCACAGAACGAGGCGACGATGGCGAGACACAAAAGTCATGGCTCGGCACCGATAAGACTGTTAGTGTCCTGGAGTATGATTGTCAATACGTAAGTGAAGTGCATAAATGTGTATTTCCATTGCTCTTGCTTGTTAGGCGTTTTCTGTAAAAGACGGGATCCTGTTTGGTTGGCTTGTCAAGGGGCACACTGGCGCTGCCGGCAGATCTTTTGGTGTAACGACACGCGATTACACGCCCACAGTTTACCCATGGGGAGGTAGCATATTGAGTTACTTTAACTCACGGCGACTTGCTGCTGCATGTCAATCGAGTGTGTTTGCTCTTTGGTCAGATGCCAGCAATGATAAAAAAATTACATTTTGAATTTAGTAACCTGGAGAATGCTGGATGGAAAATATTGAGTTTTTACCTTTAGACCAATTAGTGGCTTATAACTATAAGTCAACAGTGTGGGAAGTATTGCATTGATGCTTTTGTGTGCTAGTTTTGGTCGTTGAAGTGTGCTTGGATGTGACTTTATTGTAAAAAACAGACTTAAGTGGAACATCGCCATGGAGAAGCACAAATTTAGAGCGTAAATAAGTCAACAGGGGAAAATGTGAGCGTGACTGCTAGCAGTGACTAACAAACCTAGGCTGGCAATTCTTAACAATATTTTTTTCTGCGACATAAATGTACCCAACCAAACTGAAATTTCACTCTTTCTAAAGTGGTGCTTGCGAAATTCTTGACGTTATTACGTTTACGTTCAATGACAGAACAACTCTTTATGAAACCCTACAAATAACCCTTGCCACGTTTTGTATTGCACGGTCAAGGGACCTTGCCATTCATGATTATATGTTGTGGTTTCTACGGCCATTATTCTAAATGGAATGCTTAACCTGTTGGTGCATTTATAAAGTTCCCCGTGTGTGCGCTTCTTTGCCTGTCTTTGGTAAGGAAATAAGGTGTTTTTGTCACATTCTTTTTGCACAATTTCAAGATATTGTCAGCACTTTACTCATGTTTGTGTTGACACAAGTATAGCAGGGTTTTTTGCCGTAACTTAGGTTTTTCTGCAGTAAACATGTTATCGCGCACCATTCTCATTTGTAAACGGCAGTAACACCCCTCCAACTCCCATCTATTTTTATTAAAATGAATGTACGCGCAGCGCCGCGTTCATGTAAACAAGTGTTTGTGTGTGTAATGCTCAATAGCGGCAGCGGTTGATCCTGCAGTGCAGTCCCACGTGACTACACGCGTGGTCTCATTTGTGACCTCGTTCGCTTGCTCGTGCCTTGCAGGACCTGCGGCAGATGATGGCGTCCGGGCCGAATCTGAACGAGACGAGCGTCGTGTCGGGAGGCTACGGGGGCAGCCTGGAGGGGGTGCTGCAGACGGGCGGCGTGAAAGGTTAATTGAGCTTTGCTTTTTCACTGTCCGTTCGCCCCTGTCACATGGGCAATGCAACAATTCGATTGCTTATTTGTTAAATCGCAGTCGAGATTGAATTTGCTTAAGCGTGGGGTGGTCCAGGTGGCCCTGAAGTCGGAGTGCTGAGCTAGCACTGCTGTGATCCTGGGTTAGCAGTAAACTGAGTTCCCAATTGTAGTGAGTTGTTGGTCTCAGCCCAGTCACCAATGACCACGTAGAAAAAAAACATACAAAATTTGTTTCTGCACTTAATCAAAATTCCAAATAAATAATTATATCATTGGTCTTATTTTCACGTGACCAACATTACTCTCATGTGGCAGAGCGGACAAGCAATTTCTGCTGACTACTGTGCGGGTCAGAGGGCACTTGAAAGGTCTCAGAGGTAGCTCTGCAACATCCGCTTCTGCAGGCCATTCTCTAACATGTACAGCTGCTTCTTTTTGTGAGAGATCCGAATGGATGTTGTCCCATGACATGACGCCGATAGCACAGATCGCGGTAGAATTATATGAAATTGGTAAATATATAAAAAAGCTTAAACATAAACACATTGTGCAGTGGTATACGGCAGTGGCTATTAGGCAATTGTGTGCCCTTTTGTACAAATCTCCTTAACATTTGTAGACCATATGTGAGAAATATAATGATAATATTTAAAAGGCACACAAAGTAACCGGATGGACTTGCAATGTTAACATTTATGAACGTTTCATTTATGGCAGGTTACACCAATGTTGCCACAGCCTTGAGTGCGCCAGGCCCTTTTGCAACGTCACTCAAGCTTCTGTGTGTCTGTAGAACTTATAATTTACCTTTGTGTGTCCTTCACTGCATGATTTCACCCATCGTCAAACTCTGCCAAGTGGTCAAAGGTGGGGCCCCTCCCCCCTTTATTTAAATCTATTACTGATTAAAATACTTAAATGACTTTACAGCGAGGAATATTTTTTTTCCCAGTGAAGCATGCGAGTTTCTATGTTTATGAAAAGAGCAAGTAAGTTTAATTACGTTTATAACATTCCCTCTGAGCAGCTTAAAAAACAAACCTAAAAGTTCCGCGCTCATTGCACGTACAGTTTCTAGGAAATAAATTCCACAGCATTGTGGTGTCTGTTTGCATTCCCATGTGGCAAGAAAGCATTCCTCCTGACAGGCAGGCCTCCCAGTTGTTCTCGCACATGAATGGTGCTGTTGGCTGAAGGAGGAGGCTGCCGATTTTGAAATCTCACGGCAGCTGTGAACCTCTTTATTGCAGAGCCACTGAGTCAGCGCTGCAGCGCAGGTGCTAAACCGAAGGCGTGTTGTGTCACTGCATCCTAATGCTTCGTATTTATGCCGCGCTGGCCCTGTGATGTTTTCTTACTTTAACCCGCTCGTGCACGTGCTTCCAACAGCGGCCGCGTGCTAATGTGCGTTTGCACAGCGCATACAGGTAATTCATGTTGGGTGTGTAATTCGGCAAAGAGCTAGAAGCCAAAGTCAAAATACAAAACAGTTCTCTCCTCACATTGGTGTGCTGTCACGCATACTCGTATATTAGTGTCGGTTTAACGTTAAGAGTACATTAAATATCCCACCCCCCATCACGGGTGCCTATTGTCACTGTTAAGTCACCCGACAGACTATAAGAGTCTTATTGTAGTACGACCAATCTTATCTTCCATACCCGTCTTCCGCGTGGGCTTTTCAGCAGAGTTGCTAATCCTCTTCGGATGAAGGGCGAACTGTGGGGGAGCTTGCAGGGAGGCAGACCGGATTAGGAATCCTATTCTCTGTCGCTGGTAAATTGAAGTTGCAGAAGGCAGTGGGATGTGAGGGCAGGCCACCCACTGGAACACAGGACGTTTTGTTTCCCTTTGAAAGGTTTATTACTCTTCTTGGGGAGCTTCCGTTTAAGTTGGCGTCAAAAGCGCGAGCACTTAGAGGTCACACTTAACTTTCCAGGATCGTAATTAAAACATAAACGTGGGGCTGGAAATCAAGTTGAACAATAACTTATTCAAGTGTTTATTTCGGTGTTTATTTTGTTTTTAAGAAAGGGACAAAATGAGGGCGGTGGAATACCCATATGTGTGGTGGTGCAGCCAGAATGTGGGTGAAGAGTTGGTGAGGGCCTCTGTAAATAGTCCTTGAAACAAAAGGCGCCTCCGTGCCCAACAGTAGGGCCCGTCTTGCGGGAAGGTCAGTATGGGTCAGCACAGCAGCGCCATTCGCCAAACAAAACTCACAAAAGCACTCCTTGTCATGTTTCTGGCTGTCAATAAGCAGCATAAACGGGCAGTTGTGTTTGCGGGGAGGCGCGCTTTCTACGCTATGATTGCACTCCGCCGCCACCGTATGGGCTCACGTCAGTCTCCCAGAGCAAGCTGTATCCCAAGGCTTGTTTCCACAGCTTGGTTTTAAAAATGTTAACACGCGCGCGGACAGCAACATTTACGCTGGCATAAAAAAAGAAAGAAAATAACTCGCAATTGAAACAGTTGAGTTTTATAAGTGTAAATTTAGCTGTGTTTGGCAAACCCTATGTATTGTTTCAGGAATCCTATAATCATAGCTCTGCACACGCAGCAGGATTGCGTGCTTAACGCGATCCCAAATGGAGCAGGGCGACAGGAGGAGGAGGGGGAGGTGGGCGGGGTTGGTGTGGGGGGGTTGCCGGGAGAGAACTGGGAAAAGGAGGTTACCGTTTATGATGCCACACCAGTCGCAGGCAGTAATAATGTTGGCTTTAATGAGGCGGTCCCCAAAATGTGAGAATACAAACTGCGAGCACTCGTCACGGCCCGCCTCGAGACCACGCTGCACAATGGGCTGCTTATGCTCTCAAAGAGGCCCCCGGCGCTCCTCCGCCGGGGATGGCGTCACCGCCGCGTCGTGTTAAATCTGGTCACGGCCGCGGTTCGGTTCCGCGGTTATAATGGCAAGAGTATTTAAGTCCACGCCGAATCGCGCCGTGGAAGTCTCGACCAGTGCGGGCATGTCGGCAGGCTGCCAGGGGAAGCTCACCAGAACGTGTGATTTGGGAGTTTATAAAAAGAAAGGGTTCTGACTTGATATGGGAGTCAATCTGCGTTATTGCCTTTGATAAAAACAAAAACCCAACGTGCAAAAAAAATTAAACTGCTGTGGCTGTAAATGAATTCTGTTTCAGTTTGTCAATGCACATCTTCTCTGGGTTTCCACAAATTGCCAAATCAGTGAAAATTCTCTGCTTACATTATGTCGTTACGGCTGCCAACACCTGACTCATCCTTTGATGCAACCACTGCACAGTGGTTGTTGTGTTCTTGTTTACTTGTGGTTGGCAGTAAATAATTGGGGAATGAGCCGGAGCTGAGCCATGCCCCATTATTGCACCACTGACAGCTCGCGTGTTGGACATATTCAACACTTTGTTTAAAAGTAAATATATTTAACATGAGCGAATTATGTTAAATAATATACCAACATCTCCATTTGGGATTGCAAGTGCATTTGGGAAGTCTTGGGCAAACCATTGTAATACAGAATGTATTTGTGATACTGCATTGACAATGATATATTAGCACAAATAACATCTCCACGCAGTCGTCAATAATACAGCCCTAAAATGTGAGTTTATTTTATTACTGGGTCTAACATCATAACCAATTTCTCATATCAGAACTTCGTTGGAAGGCCTTATTCCCATCCTTTATACGCCCATTCTTAGCCCATTTTATACGTTCGACTATCTGTCATTTTAACAATTGGTTCGTTAAAAGTGACATCTGTGCAGACTGTCAAATGTGACGCGGCAGCAAAAGGAAAAAAAAAAACACAAAAAAACCTCGTCCACGCCTACTTGACCATCGTTTATATATTCAGCCCCGGGATGCGTGACCGCGTGCTTGACGTGAAGTTGTCTTCGTTCGATGCGCGGGGAAGTTACCGGTTGTGCCTGTGGGCGGCGAGCAGGCCGTACATTTGAGCCACGCGCTCAATCGATCCCAGGATCCGGGCGCTAGGCTCCGCAGCGCCATTGGCTTTGAGGCCATTGCGGGGTGGGGGGGGGGCGATTGGAGGCCTTCCCACGCCTCACTCGCACGTCAGGCTCTGCTCTATTTGTATGCCAAACCTGCCGCTGTTGCCGTGCGACGGGTTTCCCCGCGCAGTGTGTGTTTGCCGAGCTGCCGCCGCGCATCAAAACAGTTTTGAAGGCGCACACTGCCGTGTTGTCATTGCCCAAGGAAGCACAACACCGCAGATCCTTATCGCATACCGGAGGACTTGTGTGCATTACAAAAAGAAAAACTATTTTACGAGTTCAATTTTAATAGCAGTGCGCATGAAATTCAATGTCACCTGTTCATCCAAGTTTGGCTTAATTCATAAATATTGTTCGTACTACCAATGTTCGTGTTCTTAGGAGCTAAAGAAGAACGTTTTTAACCGGTCCGTATCACCTACTTTGTATATGGATTAAAAACATGGGACGCTGACAAAGAAACTGGAACAAAAGCTGAAAAATGCACAAAAAAGCGTCAATAGGTGCTTGCTGAGAATTGCACAGAGGAGACAGAGGACATGTGGATCAGCAAACAAATTCCAATAGAGGTATCGTATTGCTTGTGATAAAAGTTAACCGGCTTCAGCGGGACAAGTCTCGGCTATAAGAATTGATGGCCAGTGGAAGATACCGATGAAGGCATCCAAAGGAGTGAACTTGTCTGAGATAACGACCGCTGCGATGATGGAGCGATGGGATTGGCTCATGCAAGAGCGAGATGGATTGCGTTATTTGCAAGGCCGTGAAGAATTGTGACGACGTGGGGAGCCCTTTATCCAGCAGTGGATAGACAATTGGCAGATTTTTATTTGGCAGATTCACAAGCACGTTCTTCGCCGGCTGTGCATCATTGTGAATGCACCAATTAATGTTGGTGAATGCGAGTTTTAATTGGCTTACATCTGCCAAGAAAACTGCGGTGGCTCCCAACAACCGCTTCGGAACACAATAACCGGTCGCTGATGCTGCTGCTCCACAAATGGGACATTGACGGTGACCCACAGTGTGACTGCGGCCACTCGAACCAAAAGATGGACCACATAGCGAACAACTGCATCCTACGCCCGCTCTCCAGCGGATTGGACAGTATGAGTCGCGCTACCCCCGAAGCTATCACATGGCTCGCAAACTTAAACCTAAACGTATGATTTACATCTGCTTGCCTTTATGCGAGAAGATGAACGCGAGTAATTATGAAATGTAAATTTTGGTCCCCAGTTGGCCAATATCGAGCAGCCACTTTGAGAATTGGTATTGTCGAAGCCGATTGTGTTGTTGTTGCAGATTTTGTGACGTAAAAACGCAACGGTGTAACAAAAACACATTGTCAACCGAATATGTACAAATCTCATTTACAAGAAGGGCAAATACGGCAAATACCTTAAACTAACGCCTGCAGTCTGGAGCACAGATTGTGTTGCTGGAAGCAAGACATTCCAATTGTGTTTTATGGGTTTAATGGTTTTAAGGGTTACCTTGTTCATTTTATCCGCTGTGATTAAATCTGCGCCACACCATCCGGCGTAATTGTTTGTGTGTACGAGTGCCTCTTGAGGCAGAACGTCAACGCAAACATGAACTTTGGGGAAGTTTCAACGTTATTTTTTTCGCTCCTCGCTTTCTGTGAGTTCATTTACGGTGCTTAGACGTCAGTACCATCGATGTGAACAGGAAATGTGTGGAGTGTGTGTCACAAACCTGTTCTTTTTGGGCAGGGAATTTCATGTGAGTCATATTTAAGTAATCTACAAAAAAATTGCTTAATTTTTCTGGTGTTTAAATTCTGCTAAGAAACCCACAGTTACCCCCACACACAGGTGTGATGGAACACATCATCCTTACAGGATGGGTTATAATTACGCAGTGTACCCATCTATGCCCATCTGGAGCATTCAGGTATTTTGGTGCACTATACCAAATGGGTACGTAATTATAGCCCGTTTTGTAAATCCACATTTGTCAGTTTTTTTACGTTGCATCACTATTTTTCATTTAATACGTTGAGCATTTTAAAAGCTTGGTCCTTTTTATGCGCATCGCAATTTTTGTGTAATATTTTTATTTTACTTTGCGATTGGCTATGCATTGCATTTTGGATTTTGTCTTTTTTGCTTTCTTTGTTTTTGTTACGTATAATTTATTTTTTATGTCATCGCATACAGGCACCGCACTCAACACTCCTGCGGTTAAAGGAGCAACCGTGGTTATCCCCAGCCAATCGGCAGCAAGTAGGCTGGCCAATCAAATGGCTGAAGGCAGCTTGCCACAGCCCTCGGGTAAAGGTACCGTTGGAGCCACCACTGGCACATGGGTCCCTTATAAACAGCCCAGGGAAGAGTTTGTATGGAAATCTTCGGAGGCTAAATTTCATTGCTCCATTTGTTTCTTATTTCATACAGTCAAACTGCACTCAGCGTTTTCGTTCAGGTTAACAAATTTGATTGAAGCATTAAAACTACGACTTTACGTTGTTTACCGGAATATAAAATACATTTTGATGCACATGTTGTGAAATGAGATTGAGGCTCCTGTATATTTCCATCAGTAGTGGTAACCACCTATCTGGGGGTGTGATTCCTCATGAAACTTTTACTGAAATTGCTCAAGAAAATCTCTCCCGCGGCAGCCACAGCCGCCCGACTGGGTGTGTCGTCTTGGCTCTCGAGACGCCAGAGCTGTGATGATCTGTAGAGTCTTGTGCAAGCACATGCAGAAACCACCATCCTTTGTTATTTAATGATTTTTAAACACCCGTTTATGGGTCGCAGTTCCGTCTCATTATGCGACAGATTCAAATGTGACACCCAATAATGACGGTTTCGGGTTGCGACATTAACCACTAGCTTTTAAAGTCTTTAATGAAAGATAATCTCTCTGTGCTGAATTTGGCATTGAAGAAATTTGCCAGAATGATCAATGTGGAATGATTAAAGTTTCATTTGATGAGTGAAATTGTTGCAAACATTTTGTAGTTCTATTGTATAAAAGCAGGTATACAAATTTCCAAAATACCATTCCAATCCACGTCCTAATATGTTAGAACATTCCATTATTTTGCTTTGTCTTTTTTCCATCACCTTTCATTATCATAAGCTAATAGCTATTCCTGTCTGCGCAGAATTTTCAAAAGGAATATGAATGTATTTGTGAGACATCGCAGCCCTGGTTTGAATTGTGGAACGAGGCCAAATTCCATCCCTACTAACCAAGCCCTTGTGAATCGGTTTGTTGAAGACATTGAGTTGGCAAGCGGTTTATTTACAGGCAAGCTGTGTCATGCTTTACCTATGAAACAGAATCCACAGTGTTTATGCTGCTTAAGAAAGCGGCTGCCTTTTTTTAAGTCCTTGAGGCTCGCTCAGTCCCAAGGACAAAGTAAAATAAGTTACTTTCGCATCACAGCTTAAGAGTGTAACGCTAACACCAATTTAAGCTGTATTCATATCGCAGCATGATAAGTTGGCGAGAAGTAGTGCTTCCTTATAACTCTGAGCTTGCCAACTGAATGATCTCACAGAGGTTGGGTTGCTTTGCAGATCGCTGTGAGCTGACGCGGGGCGAACCATGCGCGCGGCTCTATGTGGGGCATGTTCGCGGGTGTAATAACCACTCCTTGTATCCTGTGCTAGCCTCTGCCTCGCAGCTGATTACACGACTCTCTCTCTCCCTGAAGCTTAGAGACTGTTTAAAGTGCAGACACAGACGTCATCTGTGTGAAGAGAAAAAAAACCTTAATTGGTCACTTTTCTACTTAGTGAATGCTACTAAAAAAATGGCCGTGATTCATGATCAACTCTGTAGCTCTCCCCGATGCGTCTGTGGGTTGTATCGCCTGTTCGGCGTGATTTCCGACAATTCGCTCCACATTATGGGAGCTTCTTCTGGTAACAAAATAATAGTCCCACGAATCTGCAGAGTTCTGCTTAATATGGCATCCTGTTAAATATGAATATATCTCTCCTAGTTTCCTGTCTTGTGATGGGTTGTTTTACGCTGTGTCTGCACTTTTTAGCACAAAGCAATTTATTTCCTCGCAAAGAAAACCTTTTTACACTTTCGTTGCTGATGTCATCTCCGCTTGATGCGATTGCTGTGATGCATTTAATCCGCAGCTTCACCGCTTCTCCCGTGGAGTGCGCTTGCACACCGAAATCCTGCTTCGCCTTTTTTCCCCCCCTTGACTAACATCAACCAATGGTGACAGTGAAGTCATTTGCTTAAATTCACTGAAACATTTTCTTCGTTGAGATTCCGCACCAGACGCCGTCGACTCATTGCTTGAGTAATTACTTACGTGGGAAATACAATCTTCATAATGGACGTGAAAAATAACAGTCAATGATATTGATCCTATGATGTTAAATTGTGTGTGCCTTTCAGTGTCCCTCTTAATTTAACTTCAGGCATGGTAAATGGAAAGCCAAAGAAGCAACAACTTCGTTTGATAAAAAAATAAACACAGCAACAAACAAAAATACCAATAATATGTGGTACATTTTGGTTGATGTGCCAACTTCATCCAATCCATGCGGAAAGACCAAGTGAATGTGTAAAGTCGCATTCTCGTGTGCACGATGTAGTGGCCAATTTGGTAGAGAGGGGTGTTAAAGTGTCAAGAGATGTTGTGCTTCATTGGATTTCTGAAGCCGGTTGCATAAAGCCGCTTATGTGACTTTCTCCAAACAGCCAATATAAATTGGCATAGAGCAAGGAAAAATGTTCACTTAAGGTGTTTTGTGCTGCTGGCCACTGACACACTAATTGTTTGTCGGCAAGTGCGGTAGACATATCCAGAATGGGGAGTGGAGGGGCCCTTGCCCTGGTGGTGTAAGGTGGTTGCAAGGTTGAGCGAATGTGTGGTTATGTAACCGGTTGTGCAGTTCTGTAACTGTGGATGTATCGCTGTGTGAGTGTGTGGTTGTGCGAATGTGTGGTTGTACGGACCACATAGCTGTGTGGTTGTGCAGATGCAGGACACGAGGGTGCATGGTATTGTGGTTCTGTGGATGGATGATTGTGCGTATGTGATGTGGTTCTGTGGATGCATGATTGTGCATATGCCCGATCGTGTGTTTGTGCGAGTGCATGGTTGCGCAGTGCGCTTTCTTGTTTTGCGCGGTCGCGCAATGGCTCCGCGTGACCGTGCTTCCTGTCGGCAGGCGCCCCGGGCCTCCGCACTTCCCCGAGCAGTAGCTCCATGTCCATGGAGGAGCCGGCCAAGGGCGTGGCCTTGGAGAAGCTGGACATTGTGCGCAAGTGGAGCGTCAACACGTACAAGGTGAGGGCACGGGGGTGACGCCTCTACGGCCGTGCCTAGCGACCGACGCGCGCACACACACGAGGCTCACCGACGTCCCTCAGACCAACACACGCGACTCCGCCTTGCGACTGTGCTCAAGGGCACTGGTAGCTGTGGAGGGGTGCTTTTATTCCAAATATTGTCTTTTGAGTTTATTGTTCCTGTAGCCAAAGCCAGTGTTTTATCATTGGCCTTGTAAATATTGCATCTGTGTGACCTTCCATTGTTACGCATATGTATTTACCTGTGTGTATGTACGTGTAATTGTCTGTATGTGTGTTGCCACCCAAACGAGTGCAACGAGTGTTTAACGTCAAACGAGCCAAATTGAAGTTGTCCCTTTGAATACGAAGAAGATTGTCATTGACGGACGTTGATGGATCCTGCAGCTTGTTGACAGCGAGAACATCCCATCGGAGAACATTCGGACAAGACGAGATTGCCCTGACTGCGCACCTTCCTCCGCTCTGTCTCCCCTATTCGGCCTCCCCCCCCTACCTCCAGACCACACTCAACTGTGGTCTAACGCTGGCGGCGGCGGCAGCGGCGGGGCTTTTAACCCTTGCACCTGCTGTCCCCCTTGGCCCCCAAATCTAGGGGTCAGCAGGGGGGCTGGGGGGGGGGTTATTTGCAAGGCTTGCACATGTTCTCCCCACAGCAAAGTGCCGTGCACTGCTCGTCTTCCCTAAATCAAATATCGAGTCGTGGCTTCCACGAGCCACCTTATGTGTGCACACCAAGAAATGTGTGCGTTCGAGGCATGGCCAAAAAACGTCTCGCAATGGGATAAGTGTGCACGGGGGAACCCGTACGAGTATATTTTGCTATTTAGTTTTGCTCTTTAATATTCTATGATTAGCACACGCACTGATTAGGCTTAAAAATTATTATACTGGTCTTACGAATAAATACATATTTTTGAACGCCTGCCAGACAAGTTACATTTTCACATTACAAGCAAAATGGTGCGGACAGTGTTTAAATGTGGAACATCGCGGAAGCAGTTGAGACCTGGACTAGCAAACAAAAAACGGTGTGCGTTGCACATTCACGCAACGTGGCGGAGTGTCTGTGATTTACTCAAAAATAAAACCACGGTATTTGTGAGAACCTCTGAAGTGCGCCGTTTGGAAAGTCTAGGCAAATGTGTCCTGTGGGCAAAGGGTAAAAAGCTTGAAATACAACGGACAGCATATTTTTTCCAAAATTTGGATGTGCTGTCTCAAAGTGGTTTGTCAAAAGAAAAGATTGGGGAGAAAAAAAAGTGATTGCTGGAAAGTTTTTTTTGACACTGAGAGGTTTCACCCAGAAGGCCATTTTGCCTGACAAGGGGGCGCAGTCATGACTGGTTCGGCAAGTTCTCGGCTGATACTTGGTTACAGTATTACAATGAAGTATTTATTTGCTCACACTTTAGTGGTGCAGTGGATTTGGGTAGGTTTGGGTTCATGTATGATTTAAGAGTCTAAATGTCATGAGCGTAAGTGCTTGACCTACTGGATGCATTAAAGTGCCCCCAGTTGATATTAAATATGAGTGTAGCGTTTTAACCAGTAAACAGTGGCTTTACTACACGTGCAATCTCAACTTCCTTTCATGTTCAAGACACCTCATGAGTGCAAATGCAGAGAGTCCTATAGCAAAACTTCCCTTGGAGTATTTCTGTGTCTTGTAGTCAGCCCCTTCAAGCGGCCTCAGTGATAAAGGCTTTTGCCAGCTTAAGCAGTTGCCAAGGCTGCAGAGGCATGCTGATGCCTGGCTTGTTTGCAGCCCTTCGGCATCGAGACCTTTTCATTTTTTTTGTGCTCTTGGCTTTTCTGGAGAACGATTCACCCTGGTAATGGGGAACAGAACGAGGAGCGGGATGCGGAATGGCCGAGTGGCTCACGGGAGGCAACGAGCAGAAATTCCTGGCATGGTAATGTCGGCCCGCGAGCCATTGTGCGGAGCTCTGCTGACTCCTCACAAGGAGTCACGTTCCCACGGCGGTGGCAGAAGCAGAAGCATCTGGTTTATGATGCAATTACGGGAGCCTAACCCATAAATCTGGTTTGCACTCGGAACACGGTTGCATTTTGGGCCAACCTTTTTTAGTGAAGCAGCACCTTTCCACAGCTGTGCTTGACGATGAATATTTAACGGAGCTCGAAAGGATCGTGTTAACTATATTTAAATAGGTAAAGGGTTCGTCTGCCAAGAGGGGTGATAGTTTACTTTCCACGGTGCATGCCGACTGTTGGAGGGTTCCTGTGGGATGTGTTCTTCAGTGGAAAGCGTGTGGGCCTCCCACCGCGGGAGTGCCTGATAACAATCTACAGGTGTTGGCAGGTGTTGTTTGCTGCTCGCACCTGATTGAGAGGGACATAGCCCTGCGCTGCGGGCGTGGCACAAATCCAAAACCAATCTCGCGTAATTTCCACCCAAACAAGTAAACACATGAGCCTGCGGGGAACCATCTGGCCATTAAGTCCTTCCTGCGGATCCAGGTTTTTAATTTTTTGCACTTTAAGTTTCCAAAGTACAAAACACAAATCGGAAGAGGAGTCTGGTAAGGAGTTCGGCTCTCACCGAGGCTATTCACAGCAACATTTGACGAAGTCTGGCAATCGGAAAACAAATTGGAGACATCGCATTGACTCTTAAGGAAAGTGGGGCTTAAACATGACTCTCACAAGAGGGGTAATAGCTAATGGACAAGTATAGTGATGGAATGGCAGCCAAAGAAGATATCTCACCCGAGAGGATAAGCCACTGTGGAGATGGAGCGATGCATTAGCTGATGTGCAGGAATAGGTTTTGGCATCGCGGGATCACGAGTGATGGCGGTGTTGTTGCGGGAGACGTTCATCTAACCGTGGATAGATCATGGAAATTTACTGTTTAAAACAACTTTTGTTGGTCTCTTCTTCAATAGACAGTGCAAAGGTATTTTAGTATAAAAAGCAAACACTCCATTCAGTGCACAGTGGCTGCTTCAGTAGAACGTGCACCGATCCGTGGCCTCGGTATCATAAAAGCAGATGAGAACGTGTGCCCTGTTTGCACAGGGCTGGTGCGGGTTGAAAAAGATGTCCTCCGGAAGCGGAGGATTTTGGGGGGGAATGCGTTGTTATTGTTGGGGCTCTCGCTGAAGAATAGGGACAGGGCATTTGGAATTACACTGAGATTTTGTACTTAGCCTGAAGTGCACGCCAAGTCGGTCATTTTAAAGAGATGCTTTCGGGAGGCAGAGCCCGGTTCCCTGGTTTAGAGCAGATAGGTTTGTTTATTCCCATGGATTGTGGAGAACTTAATCCCCATTCTGTTGGGTTGCTTGGGAATCTGAGGCCTCAAGAACTGGAATTTCGCACACTATTAAGTGTGATTTTTAGAACACTGGCTAGTTGCCTGTTATCCCTTCTAATTATTTCAAATTACCTAAACTTGTATTTGCCATTATACAAGGGTAGTATTAGGGCAGTTACAGAAAACAGGTTTTGAAAAATTGCTCACATTGAATAGATAAACAGCATTTAGATGTCCTACCAAATGTTTTCGGACATTTTAGAAGTTGACATTTGCGTTAGCTATTTAAAAATAACTTTTGAAGTGTGATGTCTTACTGTTTAGTAACCGAAGACATTGTGCCCAAAGGTGTGTATTAAGTATAGTCTTTATAGAAAGCCGGAGGCTGTTTCCTGATTTATTGGAGCGGATGTATAACTTTTTTTAAGGCATCTTTGTTTTTCAAACATCTTAAATGCACCTTTGCCGGTACACTAAGTTTCGACTGCCCAGTACGTGGTGGCCCCAAAAGTCAGTTTACCTAGATGAGTTGGAACTTGCTGTCGGTAAATACTATCTCTGCAAACTAACTTTTGGGCCACCCAGTTTAAGTAACAATTTAGCACAATTAAATTAACATTGCAGACTTTAATGTATGTTGAAAAACGTTAAAATAGTGAAGAAACTTCTTTCTGCGATGAATTGTTGGTTTGCCTGCTATTCGAAGTTATTTTATTTCAGAATAGGCTTACGTTACTCTCGGCACACAAAATTACAATTTGTACTTATATAGCCCATGCTCATTCATGGCATGGGGGTGGCCCTCATCCAGAAGTGAATTGACGAGAGGGCCGCACTTATACTTATCTGGCATCTTAAGTACAGGCGGCATCGCGAGACGCTGCACAAACGGCGGGCCACGTGCGTCACAGCGACGGCAGTTTGTGGCCTGCGCCATAGTGGCTGGATTGGCTGGCCTTATTTCATTCAGCCTCTGACAGAGAGTGGCTTGGAGTTAAACAGTTGAATGTTTCTATTCTAAAGCGACATTTACAGGTAGAGCCTAGGGGAGAAACACGGTGTTCATCTGACTTGCTCCGAGTGCTGGGCTCCCAAAGATAGCCTTCGGCTCTTTATTGTGCTTGCGTATACTACGCGCATTCACATGCAGGCACGACATTTACACGCAAACCAACTAACTTTACATTCAACCGGATATTTCCGCTTGCTGGTGTTATTATAAATTGTCATTTAATTTCCGTGCACCGTTTAGGTCATAATTGCGGGTCTAGGCTAAAGAGAGTTTGCATTTTATGCACACGTGTTCCAATGATGGGTTTATCTTACCATCTTTTTCGAAAAGGGCAGGTGCCCTCAATCTGGGATGGTTTTAAGTGTTACCTCGTTCGCATCGGCACGGCTCCACGTGGGCGTAGCCCCCCGAACGCGTGCGTGCGTACGTGCGTGCGTGCCTTACATGCCGCCGCTTGCGCGCTTGGTCCCGGGTGCCCACGCGTGCGAGTCCACGTGCTACGCACCTGCTCGTGTAAACCGCGCGCTCGGTCCCCCCCCCCCACCACGCGTCCCCACCCCCCCCCCCCCACGTGTTCGCACGAGCAGTGCACCAAGCAAGTGCTGTCGGAGCGATTTGGGCGCGGCTCGCGCACCGTCGACCTGCAGCTGGAGGCTCAGATCGAGGTGCTGCGGGACACCAAGCGCAAGTACGAGAGCGTCCTGCGGCTGGCACGTGAGCTCACGCGCCACTTCTACCAAGTGGTGCAGACGCAGCGCTCGCTCGGCGACGCTTTCGCCGACCTCGGCCAGAAGTCGCCGGAGCTGCAGGCGAGTGCCGAGAGGTGGACGCGCGAGCTGCCGCGCGAGCTGACGCGCTTGCGCTGCGTCACGCCGGCTCTCGGGCAGGGCTGGGGAACCTACGGCCCTGCAGAACAGATGTGACCCACCGAACAGATATGGCTCGTGGAACAGATACTGCCTCCCCGAAAGATATGGCCATGCGACTTAGTTTCACATGGCCTTCAGCCAAATGAGACCTTACCGCTTTGAAATGGGCAGCGCATTGTCTTTTTCTGTCACTGCAGGCATCTTAGCCTCACTAAATGGGGGTGCTATTTTTGACATGGCATCACTGAATCTTATTTTAGTTTCATAATTTGAGCATGCGCGTTCACCTTAGTCACTGTGAAGGCGCCTTTATACGCGGTCGACACACGTAATCTTTTGCGTTATTGGATAACGCGGTTAGGAATAGGTTCCCTCCTGCTGCAGCAGAACCTCAATGGGCGTGGGAACAGAAATGTTTTCATGACTTTCGGATGCAAGATTGTCCATTAGTGCCGCAACTTATACATTCTCTGTTACTGGTTATTGTGACTGCGCGCTTCGCTTGCAAGAGGTCATATTTTTCTCTCGCGTCACTGCTTTGAATCACACGGCATTGCAAAACACTTTGTTTTGAGCTAATCGCAGTGACTTAATGGGACAAAAAATTAATTACGTGTGTATGCGTCTCCGTGCAGGAGGAGTTTGGGTACAACGCGGAAACGCAGCGGCTGCTGTGTAAAAACGGCGAGACACTTCTGGGAGCCGTAAACTTCTTTGTGTCGAGTGTGAACACTCTGGTCAACAAGACGATGGAGGACACCCTGTTGACTATTAAGATGTACGAGAACGCCAGGTGAGGATGCAACGTCGACAAGGCCAGCGATAAATGACCCGAAGCCTAACGCCGTCTCTTCATCTATGATTGTTGGGCAAGGTTTTTTGCTGGAGGTATATATGATATTTAAACCCTTGCTTTGACAATAAAAACCCATGTTTGTTCGAAGGTGAGCGTATTTGTCGAGATATTTTTTAAGATGAACAAAACTCGTGCCGTTTGATTTAATGGCCACCCATTCATTTATTATTCAAAGTTTTGGAACGATAGAAAAGTTATGCAACAATCCTTGCTAAAAGGACACTCATTTCCAATGGTTTGTTTCGCGTGTGCGAATTAATACGCATCAGTAGTATGCATGATGTACGTGCGTGTGGGACCGTGTGCTCGTGTGCGTGTGTGCGCTCGCGACAGAGTGGAGTACGACGCTTACCGGACGGACCTGGAGGAGCTGAGCTTGGGCCCCCGCGACTCGGCCGTTGTCGTCAAGATCGACGCGGCGCAGCAGCATTTCTCGGCGCACAAGGAGAAGTATGAGCGCCTGCGCGGCGACGTCGCCATCAAGCTCAAGTTCCTCGAGGAGAACAAGGTCTCTCGTCGTCCTCCACCGCGGGCGCTCGTTCGCCGACGCATTGTTGTTCACCCGCGTTGTTCACTCGTTGTACGAGCGACCCCAACGCGTGCGTTCGGCAGGCCCCCCCCCCCCCCCTCCCCCCCCCATCGGCTCGTGGCAGGGAAAGCCTTCGAGAGAAAGGGAATTTGATATCGGCGATGCTCTTCTAATATATTTTTCATGTCTCCCAACAGTGTTGCTTTTTTTTTTTTAAAGCAGCATAGTTCGACGTGAAAAGTATGTGAGCGTTTATTGTCGTCGGTGTAAGATTTCCCTACGGCTATTAATATCTTCTTTGCGAGACCCAGACACTTGCTTTTTACAATGCGGCTCAAATAGCTGCAGTGCCATTTCCGTCTCTGTTTAGGGGGAGGCCTGTTGGTGTGAGAGGCTCCTCGCGGTTGTTGTTTCAGCCCTGCGGATCCCCTTGCTGCCCACCACCATCCCCCCCCAAACCCCCCATGGTGCTGTGCCCTCAAGGCTTGTGTGTCTGTCTCGGCTGACAGGTCAAAGTGATGCACAAGCAGCTCCTGCTGTTCCACAACGCCATCTCGGCGTACTTTGCGGGGAACCAGCAGCAGCTGGAGCAGACGCTGAAACAGTTCAACATTCAGCTGAAGACCCCTGGCTCGGACAAGCCGTCTTGGCTGGAGGAGCAGTGAACGCGAGACTCCGCGGTCCTGCGACGCACTCACAAAGACAAAGACACACACGCTCTCTCCTAGACACACGACAATCACGCACATAAACATGCCCCCACGCTAACGTTTTTCGTGCACAGGTACATAGATTGAAACGTCCACATCTGCGCTTAACAGCTCCAACCCCCGCCGGGTCAGACATTGCCTTTCTGATGGGAAAGGCATTGAGCGCGAAGTCACATGCACCTCTGTGCACGCACTTGGAGTTTCACGCGTGCCTACACCTCCGTGCACGCACACATGGCCATGCAAATCGCAGACAGAACCCGCGTAAGCATTTTTCTGACCCGTGTACGAGTGTTAAGGATAGAGTAAAAAATGGTAAATGCAAATGAACACGTAAAACACACACACAAGGGAAAATGCAATGTCTCTGTACTTGGCTAGATGGCAATAATAAAGGAATCTTTACGTCCGTTTAAAGCAGCCGGTGTTGCTTCACGACTGTTAGGGTCTACAGAGTCGACACGAAAAAGAGGGAATCTGCGTTTCCGTGCTCTTGCAGGCCACACGTCTCTGGTAGCCGTGGCACGAACGTGGAGACGGTGACCCCCTGTAGCACTGCAGTGTAAACAATTTCCGAAGCCCACTCGGTACGACCCAGACAGTTTTATTTTCACTTTCATATTGACCATGGCGCCGATGCATACCAAATTTGTACTTAAAATTAGTTACGGGCGATGGTTTTGACACTCCGTCTCTGATTGTTTTCTGGTTTGTGCAGTAAAAGTGCATCTATGATGGTAATTATTTTACTCTGGATAAAAAAAAAACAGAACATAGAAAAGTATATTTATTGAATGACTGATGGGCCGAGTACCATGAAGTTGATGACTTGCCCCGTTGACCGTGGAGTTGGCTGTTGTCACAAGGTGGGGACAGCCCTGGCCTGCTCGTAGTCACAACGAGCCTGCCGCTCACACTGGTCGGTGCGAAAAGGTTGCGTGCAGCCACTCGTGACACAAATGATCACATTTAATCTTAGCATTTTTGCAGATACATTTAATTCAAATTCATATTCCGACTGATGCGCCTTTTGTGAAAGGTGTTCGACTTCAGAAGGCATTCCTGATTGTGTGTGCTTTAGCTTTTGTGGTTATCTTGGCGCTATATAAACAACTCTGTGTGTTTATTTGCAAAGACGATTGTACGTGTTAAGAACTCAACCATGTAAATGAATGAAATTGGTCCATATTCCATGAGTCAAAAAACTTGATCAAATAAGGAAAAAAACTATGCTTGTGGCAATAATTGCTTTGGCTAAGTGGAGTAATTTTGGTGTAAATTGGGAGTGGTAACCAGGTGGTGGGTTTGGTGATACATGTAATATTGGGTTTTGGGTGTTAACTGCTCTGGGCATGAGTGTGATGTGTGTTGTACATTCGAAATGCGTGGGCATCTGTTGGCCTCTTGTGTTCCACTGCTGGTCAATGAAAAGGAAGTCCATTCCAAGTCCAGTGCTTTTTGTTCATAGGGGATTACCACTGGTTTTGATTCCGGCAGTCCATTTCACCTTTGTAGCTACGTATAGTATGCAGTAATGAAATTTTATTTTTTTTGTTTAAGATTTGCAACTAAAGTTTAAAGGAATATGCAACCTCAAAATATATTTCTTGTAGTACTTAGCCTGTGTGTCCCAAGCTGGGCAACATAAGTTTGAAACTTTGTCAATGGTTAGAGACCCCAAAGTTATAGTTGGGTGCATCATTATGGCACTTCAGTGACATCACTGTGACATCACACTCATACGTTTTAGTACCACATCAGTGGAGTGACGTCACTTTATTACGATGGTGGCACATTTATCTATAATTGGAACTCTTTGTTTTCTCAAGGTTTCAAACTTTGTGTCGGGCAGATGCATCTTAGGCGTGTACCTAAGACAATAGGTATGTGTTTTGGGTTGCATATTCGATGAACATGAATGCCCCTTGTATGCATTTCTCAACATGGAAACGGTTTAAGTCATGCTGTGCTGTAAGAACTGGAATCGGTTCTTGCTCTACATCGTGTTTTTTTCAGGCACTTTGTTCTCAATATTGTAGGGCCGAGCGAGATCACCGATCGCTCTCTGCTCTGCCACATATCAGCCATTGTCCAGACCGGTATTCTTCACTAATTTTCGGAGGGGGGCCACTTTCGCCGATAAGACAACATGAGTGTGAGGGCCGCCTCGCCGCCTGCAAAGGGGTGTTTTCACATTTGTGTTTTGTTGGGGGCCGCACCTAAGGCCACCTTGCAATGAAGAACACTGGTCCAGACCCAATGTTAGGCAGGAGCAGCAGTTGCCAGTCGCCCTGCGGTGTATGTATGTCGAAGTTCTTTCGCACTGTACGTAGCCAACCGTGCTATTCGGAGGTGCTTCATGCGGAGCATTGCATATTATATTACATATTGCGTCTCGGTGTGTTACGCCTTAGGACAGTGATGTGCAAGGCCACGTGATTGCGGTGATTTGTGTTTTGGTCACTGGCTAACATTGAGGCTTACCGACTCATCCCTGAAAATTTGGCCATAAATGATGTTTCAACGCCGTGGGCAAAAAACGTGGGGCTAAGTGCTACTATCCATCGCTTGTTTTTTTTATTGTACACTAGAAATGGTACATTTTAAATAGGCTCATTCCACAAACATTTTGGCCCACATTTTGCACGTGTTGATTACTGCCAGAATTATATTTTTTTTCATTCCCGTGTGTATTCAAGGTGGATGTTTTTTTAGCTTGAGTATACTATGAGAGCACGTGCTGGGAAAAAGCAAACATCTTAAGTTCTTGAATTCTCAGAAAGGAACGGGATTGCATTGCTCTGTTCAGTTACTCACAGTTGCATTCATTTCCAGCAAACCACCCAAGGAGAAACGTCAACTCCAGACTTTGATTTCGAGTGACCTCTTTTTCTGCCAAGCTTATGCTTGTCGGGCTTTGAGCAGACTGCTTTCCCCAAATGCTTTATTGACAATATAACTGTATTTGGCATTAGTCTGTGTTGGGTACCTTGGTTCATTAACCACACGGGGCCTGTCCTCTTGCTGCCCATGCGTTGAGCATGGAGTAGTTGTCTTTTTTGTGATGAGTGAACAGGGACCTACTGCACCCGTGGGTTTGATTCACTTGCTGTGTTGGTCATGGGCTGGGACTGTTCAGTGAAAATCTACACAACTGCTAAACGGCACTAAATGCGTCTCCCTCCCACTTTCATAGAGGTCTAAATAAACTCTATCTTTCCATTGAAATAAAGCGACCTCTAGCATTGCATTTTTTATTGCACTAAACACGGATCCTATCTGTGACTTGCAGAGTAGTGTTTTTAATATAAAATGTAATATTGTGGATGCTGTGGGGATCTAATAGATGCATGTGCAGTGTGTGACCATGGACATGTCGATGGGACTATATCTTAAGGGTTCTGTAGAATTTCACCGGCTCGAGGTTCCCATAACAAACAAAACATTTGAAAACCACCTTTACCGCAGAGCATTTAATTGACAAGCGTGGAAGAGTTGACCAAATGCCCTCGAGCGGGCGTGGTTTAGAGCTCGCAATTGGAGGCCCTTCTGCCAGCAGTGGCGTGGTCAAGAAATTGTGGGGCCTGCACCTTTACCTATTTGTATTCACAATGCATTCTGTACGGCTCAATGCGGCTGCTGGTGCTGCTGCCAGCCATAGTTTAAATAAAACAAACAAAAACAACCTCTTGCCGGTTTCTCTAGGTGCTGTAATTCACCCAGAAGTTCGCAAACGTAGCAGTTGTCAAGTCCGAACATTTAGTGTGTCCCCTCCCGCACTTGCACGGACGCACCTTCCTTGCGTGCGCCGTGGTGGTGACTTCTCGACCAGCGCGTCTGTGACAATGACGGTCGCCCCCTCATTATGTATAGTGTGCAATGCGGTCGCTACGCGTGCTCTGTAAATGCGCTCGGTTGAGCCTTCAATTCGATTTTATCCTCTGTTCATTTTCCTGGGTTTAATTATTTTTTATATATATTATAGACAGGTATATATATATAAATATCTATATAAAGCTGTAATGTGTATTGTGATAAGAGCAGGGCTTAATTTTTTCATGGAATATTTTCCGGGGTCCGGAAATATTTTCTGGAGCTCAGCCCTGGACAGCTCCGGTTAAAATTAAGCCCTGATATGGAGGACTCTCGACATTGGTGATGTCGGAACCCCCCCCACACCACGTGTGTGTATGTGCGGCCGTGTGAGTCGAACGCTGATGTCTCATCATTAACCTTAACCCTCATAAGATTTCCCGGTACCGACATCCATATACGCACACGAACTATAACACACCGTTTTTTCTGTTTGTGGGGGGTTTTTTTCCTGTTCGAATTAACGATACGGTATATTAAGAAACGGAAGGATACCGCAATAGATCCAAATGTAGGCACATCGATGTAAGTAACATGCTATACACATACGTCCGAGCAGCTGGGACCCCATTCAACAATGGGACGTCTGCATGGCTTAGAATAAGTATGGATAATCTGGAGTGGGGGAATGAATCAAATGCGTTTCTGTAACATTGCGCCGGGCATCGTGGAGTCGCGTACACCTTCGCTATCCGAGCGGCTGATTGTAACATCTTCGAATCGCATTTGGTGTCTCAATAGATGCCGTGGTCGAGACAGTTCGTCTGGCGTTTGATTTCCCGGTTGAGAACGAAGAGCGTTTAATGAAATTGATAATTGTTAATATAATGATGATTATCATGATGATAATTCCGTTATTCGCGTTTTTGGAGTACGGTGTGTATGGGGATTTTTTTGTTAGAATATAGAGAAATGTTACACTGATCCGTCTGTATTGTAAGAATAATGAAAAGAAAGATTAAAATAAAACCTCTATAGGTTTTCTTGGTGTCTGCTGCTTTGCAGCTTACAAGTCGGCGACTCGACAGATCTGTTATTTACGGAGCGGATGAGAGAGGGCATGTGTGTGTGTGGTCCGAACGGACACCGTGAGTACGCTTCATTGATGAGCGCCTCCATGTGTAAATACTACACGTGCCCGCGGATGGGTGTGTGGGAAATGGGGTGGGGGGCGGTTTACGTGGTGCTTGTGATTGGAGGAGTGCGGCTGCTTTCCGTAATTTCTTGTAACGATTCTTAAAACGTGTGTGAATAAAAACAAGTGAAAATCGTTTCGCTCCCGCAAGTCACAGATTCGCGTCCGTGCTTTAAGCCCCTGCTGCTTTCTGGATTCGCCACCCTTCCCAATTTTTGCCAAAACAGAATATTTATTTTTAAAACGCACCTGCTGAGCACGAGACCAAGGGTCTCAAACAGCAAGGAGCCTAATAGGAGTTCGTACGTTTATTGAATTGAGCGTCGCTGTTCTAAGGGCTTGGATGGGGGCGCGGGGTGGGGGGAGACGATGGCGAGAGGGAATTCCAAAGTCGAGCGGTGCGAGGAATGAAGCAGAAACGAGTGTGTTTGACCTGCACTGTGGTGAGTGAGTGGGTGATTCGGTTGTCGTGGCCCGCAAGTTTGGTGGCTGGAGACTGAACGAGACGCAACAGTAAGGCCGGTAGACTGCCCTCAACGTGGGTGGAGGATTGAATGGGTGAAGTTCATTGAAACAAAAGCCCCACGGTAGAAGCGACACGAGGGTGATAGGGAGGCGACTGAATTGCCCCTTTTTGCCGCAGCGCCTGTGAATGCCGTCTAAAAAGAGCTGCAGGCCCAGTGATTCTGGTTAGTTCCCTTTTGGCATCGTGACATCTGTCACAACGCGCCCGGCGCATGCACTTATATACTGTACTGTGCATACACGTCTGTTTGCAGGCAGGCGCATACATATATATTTAAAAAACCTACAGTATAGCAAGTAATGGGCGGTATATTTCATTTTTTTAGGGCCGAGTTGCTGAACCTGTAGCTAGATATGCAGCAGCACACAGCGGCCCCGGAGGGGGAAATCCACGTGAGAGTATAATTGGAGACTTCCAACCGACACAGATGATCATAATCACGAGTTGCCACCGCGGGGGGAGAAGGGGGCCTCTAATCGCGCGGTGCCGAATCGTCCTCACGCCCCCCACGGGAACGCGGCCGACCCCTGCCAAAGTCCTCTCTGCGTTACGAGCCGAGCTCCTTAATTCGACACTTTTTGTTTGTTTTCAAACAAACAGGCCTCGCGGGCCTTTGTACGTGACCGTCCGTAACCTCCCGGCAGCCGGCGAGCCAGCAAAACTTAGCTCAAAATATATACTGTAGAGTATACTGTATTGATTGTATGGATTGTGACATCGCAGCTTCGTGAGAGACGGCGGTCGCTTGGGAATGCCTTCAGCAGTGGATTGACCCATGACTGATGATCACACTGCATGGGCATGGATGATCAATAATAGTAATGCATCAACATTGAAATGCGTGCATGGAGAGATGCACGCTTGATCTCACGTGCATACTTAAGCCCCTGCGTCAGTCCACTGCTGAATAAGTGCCGCTCCACGTAGTGTGGTTCGTGAGGGTTGTTTCACCATACTTCACCACTCTGGTGAAGCCCCCCTAGAGGAGGGGATAGGGGGTGGGGGCACCTATATCGGTTCAGGCATCAATTACCGGTCACCCATGTGCGCCGGGGCGAGGAAATCGAACATCTGGTCGCCGGGTTCGCAGCTCCGCGCGCTATTCACTGCGCCACCGCTCCGCACGGTGAGCTGTGAACTCAAAAGTCATCTGTCTATCTTATCGGGGTGATGCAAGCGGAGAGGGAGGCAGCCCGGACTCTGGCGATCAGGACACACCTTGGGGGATTGTCTCCGGCTTTAGTGGACAATCTGCCGGTAATGATTTGTAAGTTCAAAATTGATGTGCGGTTTCTCGCGTTTTGTTTAATGGACACGGAGCCGCCGTTGGAGGTGGTTGCGCATGGAACTACCTAATCCCCCGGTGCCAGATCGGGTGCCTGGGGTCATTACACGTCTGGGACACACGGCCCCTTCTGCTGCTGCTACCCTGGTGATGAAATACCAAGGAAGAATACACACGCACACGCGTGAATACAGTTTCGTTATCCAACACGCGTTTGTCTGTGAAGGTATTTAAGTATCGAGACGAAGCCGGCGAGTAGTTGGCAGGGCAAAACGCGTTTACCTCTTCAAATAGTCATGTTTTAGCTCTTGGTTATCGTCTCCAAGTCATGGGCAACCCCATCTTACCCAAACAAAACTTTATTCTGGCAAATATTGGTCGCAACATTCTACGTGTTAAATTGGCAACCCTTTGGTCAATGTTGCCGGTTTTATGTCGAGACTGAGTCCCTAAAAGCAACGTCACTCTCAACTAAGGTCTCGTTCCGGTTGGTCAATTTGTACAAGAATGATCGTGACCCCACGTTACAAACAGACTCACAGAGATAACGATCCTTAACATACTGTTGGGGGCAAGTGCTGTTAGCGAGCACATCTGAAGGCCTGCACGGGACACGAGGGGAAGGGTCACCAACACCACGCCAGGCCGCCTTTGTCTCCCCAGTGCTCATTTTCACCCCTCACCCGCAGCAGGTCCTCATTTAAGGCAGAGTCGACCTAGGGGGGAGGGGGCCCAGAACAGTTCCAGATACCACTCACCACTTGGTGTCAGCCGTGGCGAGGAATCTAACTCAGGTGGCCGAGTTCGCAGAGCAATGTGCCACCGCTCCCCCCACCCCCACACACACATAGATAACAGGGCAGTATGCTGTATGTACAGACACCGTGTCCCCACGTGGCCAATCTGCCGCAAGACAATATCGCACACAATTACTGAAAGAATGGCGTGAATTAATGAGAATGTACGTGGCTTTACATTGTTCCCTATTTTATTTGTACAAGACTTTCACGGACAGGTTCCATACCATTGGCAGCATCAACTGGATTCTCAAGTGTAGCGAGTTGATGGCTTCATTCCCTATCGTTAGGCCCAGCTGCCAGGCCGTATTCGACAAACTGGGCCCCATTTAATACCTTGCATCAAGTCCTGGCAGTAATGAGATTCGGTTTGGATATTGTGAGGAGGCCGGGACTAAGTTGAGTGGCGTGGCTTGAGATGGATGGGTGGGGGGGATGCATGGGACTGCGAGCTGGAGAGAGATACATTTGGTGAGAGAGATATAGATGGGAGTGCTGGTGGTGAGAGAGGATGTATGGAAAGTGCAGGTGATGAGAGGGGTCATGTGTTGTAGGCTATTCCGCCGCTTGCCATACAGTCTCACATAACGCATTCTGGGATTGTGGATGCGAGGGTTGGCGACCCTATTTCCTCATCACTGGATGGAGTCAGACAGACAGACAATCCACCGCCCTGTTGCCCTCGTTTTTTTTCTGGAGGAGGACCGTAAATATTAGTCTGCCATTAACGGATTAAGCATGTTGGACCGCCTTACAGCCCGTAGGTGTCTGTGAAAAGCCACGCAAATCCAGAGCCAGCGAGCATTCCGTTTAATTTCCATTCCTGAGAAAACATTTTAAAGATTCCCATGACGAGGTCCAGACTTTTCCGCGAAGAAATGAATCACGGACTTCATCACGAGTGGCCGAGAGAGCGCGGCGAGGCTTTTGCGAGGCTTTGAGTCCCGTCTGAACCATATTGTCGCCTTTTTCCAGTTCTTTTCCTCCTGTAAATATATATATTTTTAAGGAAACATTTGGGTGTGTGTCCGAAATGGTCGAGTCTCGACAAGCCTGGCCGCTCACCGAGCCGCGTCGCCGGACACTTCACCGCGACCACTGATGCCCGACTGGGTCGTCTGCTGCTGCGCGTACGAGGCGCTGCAGAGTGAGTGTGTGGGGAGCGGTAGTGTAGCGGTTAGCGCTATGAACCCAGTCACCCGAGTTCGATTCCCTCGCACGACCACCAACACCAGTGAGGATTATCTGAACCGGTCCTGGACCTCCCGCTAGGTTGACTCAGCCTCGAACGAGTGCCTGGTGCGCTGTGTAAACGTCGCCAATAGGGAGACAAAGGCGGTCGGACTTGGTGCTGGCCACCTCCCCCGTGTAGCGTTCGTAGGTGCTCGCTAACAGCACTTGCCCCGACAGTCTGTTAAGGCTATACGGGGGGTCTTTGTCTTTGTTTTCTGACCAGATTTGTAAAACTATTGACACCGGGCACAAGTTTGGGGTGCGTCTTACTTTCCAGAGCGTCTTATAGTCCGAAGGCCACGGTCGCTATCTGCTCAACAGCCTGCAACCTGCCCCCATCACCACCCAATGTCAACGTGCACACACAGCTCTTTTGCCAATCCACTGCTGGATGAAGAGCTCCCCACGTCATACGGATGGTGGGATTTTTTTCGTATTATACTTCACCACGCTGGTGATCGCGGGGTTGTGAAGACCCAGGGGCCGTGAAGAGAATCGAACTTCGGTCACCAGGTTCGTAGCGCAGGGTCGCGAACCAATGTCTCACCGCTCCACGTATCCAAGGCAACGAGTAATGAACGGTGTCCATGTGAATATGCAGGGCAATATATTTATAGATACCCCGCTAAATCGGAGACAGAGTAAACAATGCTATTTTAGAGCCCCCACATGTCTCCCATCAACCTCAACAGACGTATTAGACCATTAACAATAATAACGATGCAGCCACCGCTTTCGCGATATTAATTCGCCCGTTGAGAAGAGAGGACAGTAATGGGGTGATTATAAATCAGTGGGGTGTCTATAAACAGATCACCACGGAAATTGCCGCAGCAGTTGTAAAGGCGCAGCTCCTGCGAAATCCTTGCTCGCTCCACTGCTGGTGGAAGTTCCTTCACCGGCGGTCGCTTTAGAAAGCCCCTTTAGACGAGAGGACCAAGTTCGAGGCTGTTTTGGTCCACTCTCACACTGGCATAATAATAATGATGAGAAGAGGTGGCAGCAACTACCCACACTTTACACCATCGCTACAACTGCCGCGAAGAGAGACGTCTCGGGTATAAAAGTCCCGGCGTTCTCGCTGCATTTTTACATCGCCGTGGCGGAGTTCCTCCCAGCAACGATTGTCAAGATAACTCTTCGTAAAGATAACTCTTTGTAAACATAATCCGTCTCGAGCAAAATCTCCTTCTCGTCTGCAAGGTTTTGGCTGCTGGGTGGAACGGGGCCGTGCGGGCTGACTCGTTATCAGCAGCAGCAGCAGATGCTGTCTGGCCAGCTGGTTCCACCGTGCAAACACAACACACTCCTCTCTGCTTCTGAGAAACGGATTTACCGAAGCAAGGGAGATTGTCAGAATTAATGCATGGACGGGGGGGGGGCTCTGGTATGGGGAGGGGGGAAGACCCGCGAGCTGCTGCTGCCTTCAATCCAGAAACAAGGGGGGGGGTAGATGTAGGATGATGCGGGGCGTCCCGCGGGTGGGAGGGAGAGCAATAGATGGGTTATGTTAGGGTAGGGATAAAAGAGGGATAGTGGGTGGAGGGGCAGGAGGAGGGATAGGGGTGGAGGGGGCGGCGTAGGGGTGGAGGGGGAGGAGGAGGGATAGGGGTGGAGGGGGAGGCGTAGGGGTGGAGGGGGAGGAGGAGCTCACAGAAGACGAGGTTCAGACCTGCCTGGGATCATAATTGTCGAGAACGAGCGTCGCGAGGCCACGGTGCGGCCTCCTCCGTGCTATGAAGTAGGGCCATTGCCCGGAACGTCGCCTCATATATATTTGTTTGCATTTGGAGGCGGTGTTATTGACGAAGGTGTTGAGTTGACGGCCTGCCGCGTCACTCAACTCCGCATCAAGCGAGTCGACGCGTGAACCGTGAGTCCGTCTGTGCGCGTGTGCATGACTCAAAGTGCACCTAGGATGGCACACACCGCCACTTAGTCGGCGAATGGCGGTTGTTGTTGTTGCTGTTGTTGTTGCTGCTGCTGCTGCATGATTCATAATTGCGGGGAGCGGTAGTGCAGTGGCGGTCTCTCGCGCGTGGCATTTGAAGAGCGACTGACAAAGTATTCTAACTGTGCTCAATTTGGCAATCCATTCGATAGCGCCTGGAGTTACTGCGCGTGCAATGTACTGGTAGGTCGACTCAGCCTCACATGAGCACCTGGTGCCTGGTGTAAACATCGCCACGGGAGAGACAAAGGCGGTCGGGCGTGGTGCTGACCACCCACCCCCTCGTGTGCCGTGCCAACCTTCATAGGTGCTCGCAAACAGCACTTGCCTCAACCGTCGGTTACAGGCTACACGGGGGATCTTTGTCTTCGAACGATCAGCGAAGGGACGTGTAGAAAAATGACATTGTTTCATACTCCTCCTCTCCAACGTATCCCCGCATTCAGCAAACCACCCTGGATAGCGAGGTGAAGTTAGATCAAATGACTCTTCTGCGACCTCTAAGTCGCGGGGAGGCCCTCATCCAGCAGTGGATAATCCGTGTAGACTGGAGCGTGATCGCGAGCGCACTACGCCACGAACCCGGCGAGCTGCGATGCTTTTCCTTTTCCCGCGCACGGCAAACATCTCTGGGCCTCCCCTAGGTCGGCTCGGCATAAAAAAAACGATGACCCTGGTGCGATGTGTAAACATCGCCACTGGGGAGACAAAGGCGGTCGGGTGTCGCGCTTGCCACAGAACCCCCTTGGCGTTAAAAGATGCTCGCTAACAGCGCTTGCCCCCACTCCTCTCGTTTTTTGGTCGCCTGTGGTGGGACGCGGCGATGAAGCCGTAAGTCCCAGGCAATTAAACAATCTCGAGTCCAGACAAACAACAAGAACAACAAAGTCCCCACCTCGAATCTGGCATTCTTCTCGACTCGAGACCCCCTGCGCGCGGCGGCCGCGGCGTTCCCCTCGCCCCCGCCGACGCAGCCGCTCTCGCAATGCACGGGGCGACAACGCGACACGGAGCCAGCCTCCCAAAGCCCCTTCCCCGCTATCTCTCGCCTCTGAGTTGCCTCGGCGGATTTCGCGAGGAATCTCGTCCCGTGGAGCTATCCAGTCAGATTGGTCGCGCACAGTGCGAAGTGCTCACGATTTGCGTGCGCGCGCTGCGCGTTGTCTTCACGGCCGAGAGGAGCGGTGATGCAGCGCCGCCAGGGGAGTTCCATCTGAACGGAGAGTTCAGATGGAATTCATCTGAACAGAGAGTTCAGATGGAAATCATCTGAACGGAGAGTTCAGATGGAACTCATCTGAACGGAGAGTTCAAATGGAACTAATCTGAACGGAGTGTTCAGATGGAACTCATCTGAACGGAGTGTTCAGATGCAACTAATCTGAACAGAGTGTTCAGATGGAACTCATCTGAACGGAGAGTTCAGATGGAACTCATCTGAACGGAGAGTTCAGATGGAATTCGTTTGAACGGAGAGTTCAGATGGAACTCGTCTGAACAGAGAATTTCGATGGAACTCATTTGAACGGAGAGTTCAGATGGAACTCATCTGAACGGTGAGTTCAGATGGAACTCGTTTGAACGGGGAGTTCAGATGGAACTCGTCTGAACGGAGGGTTCAGATGGAACTCATCTGAACGGAGTGTTCAGATGGAACTCATCTGAACGGAGAGTTCAGATGGAACTCATCTGAACGGAGAGTTCAGATGGAACTCATCTGAACGGTGAGTTCAGATGGAACTCGTCTGAACGGAGAGTTCAGATGGAACTCGTCTGAACGGAGAGTTCAGATGGAACTAATCTGAACGGAGAGTTCAGATGGAACTCGTCTGAACGGAGAGTTCAGATGGAACTCGTCTGAACGGAGAGTTCAGATGAAACTGCTTTTTGTGTGTTTAGTTTGGTGTCCTTACCCCGCACCTCCGATTAGCACAGTTGGCTATGTACGGTGCGAAAGAAGTTGAACATACACACGTAAAACCATGGGAATCCCTGCTCTGATATGCGGGATAGAAGATGTTTGATGCGGGATGGAAGTTGCTTTACCATGTGCGGGCTGTCGCAGGAACCTCTCGATGTCCCTATAGTTGTGCTGATAATGTACATTCGTGTTGTGCGTTTGTGTACCTGGCGCGATGTGTAAACGTCGCCACTGGCGAGACAAAGGCGGTCGGGCGTGGTGCTGGAACGTACACAATGTCACGCTCAATGCGTTAACATCACGCCGCGCTGCTGGATTAAGGACTCCCCTCGCCACGTCGGTCATGAGGGTTGTTTGAACCATTCTTCACCTTTCCGGCCAATGCGGGTTGGTGATGGGACTGGATTGTGGGGAAGGGTGCACCAGACACCGGTTCAGGTGTCGCTCTTGAGCCACTGATGCTCGCCGTCGTAGCTGGGAGTCGAACACAGGGGGTCACCGGGTTCATAGCGCGGTGCGTGCCAACCACTGCGCCTCCACTCTCCCACCATGCACCAGCCGTCACAACATTGGGGGAGATTCATTAAATTCGCCGAAGCGTTCGGTAACGACAGACGCGCAAGCGGTCCCATTGTGCGAAAAAGAAAGTACCGACATTCTAAAGACAAAGATCTCCCCTATAGCCTTTACCAGACTGTTGGGGCAAGTGCTGTGAGCGAGCACCTATGAAGGCCGGCGCGGCACACGCCCGGCCGCCTTTGTCTCCCCAGTGGCAATGTTTAGACATCGCACCAGGCACTCATTTGAAGCTGAGTCGACCGAGCGGGAGGCCCAGGACCGGTTCAGGTAATCGTCACCAGTGTTGGTGGCCGTGCAAGGGAATCGAACTCGGGTGGCCGGGTTCGTAGCGCAGCGTAGCGCTAACCGCTCCCCTACCGCTCCCTACACATTCACTCTGCAGCGCCTCGTACGCGCGCAGCAGCAGCAGCAGACGACCCAGTCGGGCATCAATGGTCGCGGTCAGATGTCCGGCGACGCGGCTCGGTGAGCGGCCAGACTTGTCGAGACTCGACCATCGCGGCGGACTTTGTCATTTCGGCGATGGCGTGTGAAAGTGTGAAACGAAACGCGAGTCGACCGCTTTGCGAGGTCCTTTCAAAGGGAGCGAGAGACAAAAAAACGACTTTTGAGCCGCTGATGTACAAATGCGTGCCGCTGTGAGACGACTACCCCGAGGGGTACTGGCGCTTTGCGCTTGTCCCTCTAGGGGTCAGCCTGCAAGTCACAATGATTACTGAAGTTGGTTTGCCACCTACAGATGCGGGCACGGGTTCATTCTGACCGGAAGAAACTGCGAACTTATTGTGTTGAATATCGGCCACGCACCTACAGGAACGCCCCGTGTACGATCCTTTGACGTACGTCGAAATAATGGTGAATGGGGTTCTAGAAACGTCTCAAATCTGTTCTTATTGCTCCACATGTATTTATTTATTTTAAAGTTGAAAACTGTTTTATTTTTTAATGAAACAAAATCCAGATAGCAATCTTAAAATGTCTACGAAGATTAATTCACCCCGTCCGTGGGACTGCCTGTTGCCGGATGCTTTATTATAAATCGCTCACCTGCTACTGACAACACTGCTAGTGACAACTCAGAATAATGATGAAACAACGCAATGCGAATTATAAAATAGGAACAACAATCATTTACAGCCCTTTGTCAATGCATTCCTGGATGAAGGTTCCCCCAGGCTGCATCGGCAATGGGGGTTGTTTAACCATACTTCCCCACTCTGGTCAGTGCGGCTTGTGAGTGCGGGGGGGGGGGGGGGGGTGAGCCGTGGGTGGGATTCTAACCGAAGCGTGCTGTCGGGTTTACGTCGCAGCGCGCTAACCGCTGCACCACCGCTGCCCCCTCCGGCAAAACTGAATCCACGGCGCTGTAATTGTAATCGAGTCCGCGTCGCGTGCGTTACCGCGCAGATCGAATTGTGGCCCAAGTCGCCTCTGGGTGTTTTCTGGGACAAAAGGGGCCTCTACGGTGGGGGCGAGTTGGGGGGGGGGAGTACCTGGGGTGGTGGTGGTGGGGGGGGGGCTTCTTCATGTGCGTCAGGAGATCGCGTTGTACACAAAGGCTGGAGAGAGGGGGGGGGGGGGGCACCGTGACCCGCCACGGTAAACATCGCTTTTGTTCCATCGCTCGCGCGCAACACGAGGAGCGAGCACGCGCGGCAGCAACAGGAACCCCGCGGTGCTCCGTTGTGGCCTTTGCACGGCCGCCACCACCGCCACGTCCAATGCCAATCTCACGACTGCAGTCGACGATACGATGAGAGTCGTTTACAGGCCTCTGTCGACGCTGGACGCTGGCAACGGGAGGCATCTCCGCGCCGCGTCGATCGCGCGCGGGCCGTTTGAACATCCATCAACAGCTGCGGGTTGGTGACCAAGGGAGCCGTTCAGATGTCACTCGCTACTGATGGTAGCCGCGGCGGGTATTGGACCCTGGGCCACCGCCGCCGTGTTCATACTGCAGCGCGTGAAGCCACCGTGTCACCCCTCTCCAGCCTGAGTGCCACCAATGCCCTTGAGCTAGGACGGCCGAAATTTCAATGTTGTACTTTTTAGAAGTGTTCTCCAGCGTGGGAATGTTTGGACAAGTTTCGCACTGTGTGTATTTGTATTCTTGTGGGAATAATCTGGAGAACCCGGAGGAAGGGGGGGGGGGGAACCCCACCGCTGAAACGAGGGTGGCACCACCCCTGGTCACACCTCTCAGCCACACGCCTACACCACCTAGCAAGCCCTGGTGGTCGCTCATCCAAGTGCTCAGCCAACGCGATCGCATTCTGTCCACGTAACGTAGATCATCATCATAATCATCATCATCAGCCATGACCAATGCACTGCTGGATGAAGGCCCTCTCGAAGCCGGGGTTCGAACAGAGCCGGCCGGTTCCCCTGGCACGGCCATGCATTGTGCATCTTGCAGAATTGTCACTCGGCTGTCTCATTCGGGGCTCCGCGGTGTCGTCCTCCCATGGTATCGGACAGACTTCCATCCCCCGCGAGGGGGTGAACATCGTTCACGGTGTCGCCTTACTTCGCCAGCCGCCTACACGCACAACCTCACGCACTCGGATCAACCAGAGTCGCGAATCACAATCCGCTCCACCGCGAGTCCGTCAGCCGTCGTTGCTCAATGAAGGCGCCCCGTCGTCAATTGACCTCCGCGAGACTCCCATCGACGCCTGCCACGCCACGGGGTTTGGAGGTGTGGACTGGACTCAGTCTGTGAGCCCACAGAGCAGACGTTTCACTCGCGGGCAGCCCTTGAGGTGGCAGTACTTTCAGTGGTTGCAATACCTTAGCGTGGCTGACAACAGTGAGGCGTGCGATGGCCCATTTGAAACGAGTTGGGGTTCACCAAGTGTATATTTCTAGCCATGTGAATAAGCACATCGGTACGACAAAAGTTTTTGCTACCTTAGGTGGTACCAATGTCTGCTCTGGCCCGTGGATTAATTTGGCGGTGTTGGGACCCGCTGGTTTAGGGTGTGGAGGCGCTGCGTGCCGGTGCGTGTGTTTGTGTGCAGATACATAACTACAAACTCACATTGTAGTCGGTGTATGTGTGTGCACTTCGCCTTCTTCTTGCATGGCTGATGTAGATGTAGAGAAATAACTACTGTCTCACATTGTCGTCGGTAGGCTAACAGCACTTGCCTCCAACAGTTCCTATGCCTACTAGGGACGGGGAATCTTTGTCTTTGTCCGCGAGTGGCAGGTGTCAACGTGCGGAAATGTGCACACGCTTGTGAGTTGCGGGCACGCGAAAAGGACAGTTGTAGAGATGCGTAGGAGCGCGCAGATGATGATATCCACACCTGTGTACACGTACAACCTTTGTGCCCATCCACTGCTGGATGGGTGACTTCACCACGCTGGTCAGTGCGGATCGGTGAAGGCAGAGGAGCATACAAAGTAGGTGCATAGAAGTGCAGTACAACAATTGATTTTCCTGCACTGGCCCTCTATTATTGCCCACAAAATAGCACGGCCACCTCGCCTGTAACAACCGGCCATGCGTGGTGATCGCCCATCGCGGCTCTTTCTTTCAGGCTCAACCGCTGCTTAGCGTCCAAAACTTGACGAGATTGCGAGCATTCCGGGCGATTTGGTCATAGGCGCCCACTTGTGTAGGCCCCCGTGAAAGAGTGACACCATAAATACGCAGACGCACACAGACGCACACAGATGCACACAGACACACACAGACGCAAACAGACACACACAGACGCAAACAGACACACACAGACGCACACAGACACACACAGACGCACACAGACACACACAGACACACACAGACACACACAGACGCACACAGACACACACAGACGCACACAGACACACACAGACGCAAACAGACACACACAGACGCACACAGACACACACAGACGCAAACAGACGCACACAGACGCACACAGACACACACAGACGCACACAGACACACACAGACGCACACAGACACACACAGACGCACACAGACACACACAGACGCACACAGACACACACAGACGCACGCCTCGAGGCTGCGCTCGTCACGCGCCGTCGGCCAGGGCCGCTGCGGCTCGCAGTTTAAACCTCGGAGCTCAGCTTCTGCCGTTCTTTGCCTCGCAGGTGGACAAGCGGAGACCTGGCCTCGCCGCTGCGATGATACCCCCTGCTCTCGCTGACCCCGCGACGGACGGCCGCCGCCCCCATCCGACGCGCGGCCGCTGGTAGCTCTCTCTGGCTGCGAGAAGTCCCCGAGGGAATCTACGTTTCGTGCGACACGACAACCTGCACGACGGAGGGTGGCCGATTCCCCAAATCGACGATGCTCAACATGGATGTGCAGAGCAACGGACGCGCGCTTCTCCCCAACGCCCCGAGCGGATACGCTGCTCCGCCGGCACCGCCGCCTCCTCCTCCTCCGCCTCCTCCGCCGCCACCGCCGCCCCTTCCCCCGTCGCTGGGCTTCACGGGAGTCACGTCGGAGGGCGACGGCCGGGCCGGCGGCGTGGACGCCAGCAAGAAGAAGATGCGCAAGTTCTTCTGGAACGTCATCCCCAAGGAACGCATCGAGGGCAAAACGAACCTATGGACCATGGGGGGTCGCAGCGACTCGATCGAGCTCGACACTCGGCGCATGGAGGAGCTCTTCTCCAGCGCGGACGCCGAGATCCGGACGGGGGCGGCCCTTGGCCTCGTGAAATCCCACAGCGCGGCGCGGTTGGCTAAGGAGGTGAGTGCTTTTGGCTGCTGTGCGTAGATGTCGAGCGAGTGCGCAGGCGGTGCAACTGCACCGGGGGGGGGGGGCGGGGGGGGTGCCCACGTGGGCCGGAGGGGCCCCAGATGCCGAGGTAAGAAGGTTGGACAGGAGGCCCCCCCCCCCCCCCCCCCCCCAGGGCCCATGGCAGCCACGTGACACCACTGCTCACACGTGATCACACCAGTGTCTGGTGGTGAGATCAGGGATTCGTTTTAGCTGGGTCGGTCTAGGTAAGCACCCTGAAAAGAATTCCTCATCTGGCACACCACATCCAGTATACCTATTGCTGTGGCTACTTATCACATGCCTACTCAAATCTTTCGGTATTATCACGGTTGGTGAGCAAAGACCCCAAGCGAACAAGATGCCAGTAACACTACTTTTGAGAATATAATAGATGAGAGTAAATATGTTTATTAACTAGAACATCATGATAAAAACTAGGAATTCCAAAGTGTAGCGGTGTGAGGAATGAAGCAGCAAGAGAAGTGCTTTGACCTCAGCGTGGTGGTTGACCTCAGCGTAGTGGTTGACCTCAGCGTGGTGGTTGACCTCAGCGGGGTGGTTGACCTCAGCGTGGTGGTTGACCTCAGCGTGGTGGTTGAGACGAAACGGTCGCTCGAGCAAACCGAGTCGTCAAATTGACGAGTGACGTTCACGAGCACAGTGAGCACAGGAGCAGCGATAGAAGAGCGATAGGGAAGCGACAGGCTTCCGGTGAGTGATTGACAGGAGCAAGTCTGTGAGTGCTGGATCATCAACCAACCTGATTGTGCCGGTGAGCCTGAGAATATTCAGTCGGAAATGAAGCCCAATGGAAACACCCCCCCCCCCCCAACACCTCCCCAACGCCTCCCCACTCAAGCGTCTGCGCAGTGAAAACAAAATACAAACAAAGCAAAAAAAGCCCCAACACGTCGCCGTGAAGTTTGCACAGCGCAACTTTCCATAGAAACGCGCGGGCCGCATGACTCGAGCGGGGGGGGGGGGGGTCGGAAGGTCAGGAGGCTCCGCTCAGTCAGCGCTCGCTGGCTGGCGGGAGCTGCGTTGCGTGTATAGGGGGCGGTGGCAGGTGGAGGGTGAAGCGTTTGTGGGGGGCACGGGGAGGTGGGGTGAGACTCGGGAGTCCACCGAGGGAAGGTCACGCGTACGCTCCACGCGACCAGGCTGGCCTCCTACCCGCCCCACCGTGCCTCTCCTCTCGGCCAAACATCCCTGTGTCACGCCCAAGCCGCAACGTCGGAGCGCTTCTCTGCCCCGTTGTCGTCTGCCCTGATCTGCATCGTTAAAAAAATAATAAGGAAAAACGACAATAATAATTCTGTAATGTCAGACGTAGCTCCGCGTGGTTCGCTTCCCGCGGGCTGCTCTCTCGCACTCCGGGGTCGCTGCACTCGTCGTGCCGGAGATACGACGGGCCCCCGCTCACGCTCGAGCTTGCTGAACTTCTGATATCTGACACGGTCAGATGGAGGAGCATCCCCCGGATGGTACCAGCCTACGAACTATAAGTTGCACCACTTGGAGGTGTGGATAAGCATGTAGTTGGAGGGAACAATTTCTACACCCTCCCCAGTTCTCTACCCACCCCCACGCCGCCCCCCCTACACTCCCAACCCGTGTCGCCTTGCGACGACGCCAGCGCGTGAGTGATGACACAGGAACCCGTTGCCGCTCATGCTCAGTGGCCCGTGATTCATCAGGGCAGTGGCTCCGCTCGCTCGCTCGCTCGCCCAGTGATAAAATCAGGGCGGCACCGAGCAAAAGTGGCTCAACTTAAAACAGTGACCCCCGTAAAATCCTTCAGAACGTTAACACAGCTCTTGCCCTACCCATTGGTAGTGTGCGGGGCTTATGCCCAGGCTTGGCTTATGCCCAGGCTTGGTAGAATTATAGTTAAGAGGTTTCTATCAAATGTAATGGGCGTTCAGGCTGTGACACCTGGTCTGGATAGGCTGGCCATGTGTGTGGTCAGGTATTTGCTGACCAAGGGCGAGGTGTAGCCATGTATTTGCTGGCCCAGGTAATGGCGTGGCCAGGTAAGTGCTGGTCCAGGTGATACCAGGTATATGCTGATCTAGGTACAGGTGTGGTTAAGGTATATGTTGGCCCAAGTAATGGTATGGTCAGATATATGTCGATTTAGGTAATGGTGTGGCCAAGTTACAGGTCAAGCCAGCTATGTCTTAGGCAAAGCACAGGTTATACCAGGAATGTATAGATCCAGATAATTGCGACGCTGCTTCATAAAAGACGACTTATCGTTCAGCGTCGCGTCCGTGTTACGTAAATCAAACAAGCGTCAAATCAGATGTTGCTAAGAGAGCCGGCATCTGAAGTCGAGTGCAGTATGGGTTGGATCATAACACTGCTTCCTTGGCAGATAAGACGAGCTTGCCTGGAGAAAGGCAACGGGTGTGAGAAGGAGATGATGTCTGGTTTCCCACGATTTCGTAACGAGGCTGATGGTTATAGAAAGAAGCTCTCATCCAGCAGTGGGTTCTACATAGAGGTCATCAGGAAAACGCTGGGCTCTGCATGTACTGTACATATTTAGACAAGAGTCCAAAATTATATTTCGCAAAGGAGACCTGGGTGCAAAGAAAAGTATGGGACAGTGCATGCCCCGTCTGTAGGTTAGTTGTCTTAACGTTTATTTTATTCACCTTGGCCAATTGCGCTATCCCACGCTATGAAATCTCCATGCTCCATGTTTACATAACACACATGTAACAAAAAATATAGTCACAAAGTGCGGGTGGTAATATAGGGTAAACCCTTTCCGCCTCCACACTTGTTGAGATTTTTAATAATCTAAATTGAAAAACTCATCTTTGTCTAACTGCTTTTTGTGTTTAGTTTGTCCCCCCCCCCTTACCTCCGATTAGCACGGTTGGCTACGTGCGGTGCAAAAGAAGTTCAACAAAATAAAAAGATCCCCCGTGTAGCCTTAACAGACTGCAGGGGCAAGTGGTGTTAGCGAGCACCTATGAAGGCCGGAACGGTACACGAGGGGGTGGGCGGCCAGCAACCACGCCCGACCGCCTTTGTCTCCCCAGTGGCGATGTTTACACACCGCACCAGGTACTCATTTGAGGCTGCGTTGACCTAGGGGAGGAGGCCCAGGATCGGTTCAGATAATCGTCACTGGTGTTGGCCGTGAGCGGGAATCGAACCCGGGTCGCTAGGTTCATAGCGCAGCGTAGCGCTAACCGCTAACACTACAGCTTGTTAGCTACGTGCGGTGCAAAAGAAGTTCAACGTATACACACACACGCGCACACGCAGCGCGTTACGAAACGGCCACGTTTGATGATCCCCGTGGGTTATTCATTTAACCGAGAGGCCCTTGCTGGCGGGCAAGAAAATCAATAATACGCGGCCACACTCACAAGGGCAGCCACGGATGGATGGGGAAGAGCGGTGATGGTGGGGGCCCAGGAGCTGTGGGAGTTGAGGGGGGGGGGGTCCATCAGACGGCGTAGACTCGCTAGAGGCGATGGCTTCTGCGGTCTCCTTGTCGGGCGGACGCGGACAGAACGCCTCCTGTCGTGGTGTGGGTGTCGCGTCCTGGAATCTTCGTCACGAGGCGGTGGTCGGAACGCCGATTGATTTTTGGATTTTCCCTGACCCAAAGCGACACGCGTGGAAATCCGATAACAGCTGTTCCGCAACAATCACCACCGGCACCCCTACCTACCGGCCCACGCTCTTTAACCTCCCGGTCTAGAGGCAGTTCACCTCTGGGGTTTTTTTTTTTGGTTCCGATGGCAGCAGGTTTGGCTGACGCCACTTGAAGCCTGAGCGGGTGGGCTGACGATGTGGCGGTGAGCAGGTTCGCTATTGTGAACCGACGGTCATCGTTCATCACCGCTTTACGAACATCGCGATCAACATTGTTATAGATCATCATCATCATTAGCATCATCATCACAATGAGTGCCGTCATCGATCATCATTATTAGCATCACCAAATCATCATCATCATCACCACCATCATCCTCGTCGCCATCGATCATCAAATGAGCATCATTATCATCACCACTTTGTTACCACGACCATCATCATTATCATCATTTGCATGATCACAACATCACCATCAATCACTTGCACCTCCGATGAGGTACAGTTGGCTATGTAGGTGCGAAAGACGTTAAACATACATACACTTCATAATCACCGTCATCATGTCACCATTATCATGGTGTATGTTGAACTTCTTTTGCACCGTATGTAGAAAACCATGCTCATTGGAGGTGCGGGGGAAGGACAACAAGCTAAACACAAAAAGCAGTTCAAAAGAAATTAGTTTTCAATCTAGATTCAAAATTGCATTATTAGCACATGACCACCACCATAATCACCATCATCATTACAAGGTTGATGTTTATCACTTTGTCAGTCAGCAGCAGTTGTCCTCTGAATTGACCACACTCACACCGTCTCCCGCGGTGTGAGTGTGGGATCTCCACCACAGGCTCTGGACCGCAAGCGGAAATGAGCACTGCCACACACTCATTTGAGCTTGAAAACGCTCTGACTTTTATTTTACCGTTAACCCTCTTTATTCTGGGGCGGTTGGGCGGGATGGAAGGATTTAGGTTGTGATCCCCTTCCGTGAATTGGGATCAACTCCTAACCCCCCCCCCCATCCCCTCGTGCGTGTGTGCATCTTGTTTTATATAGGAAAGCCTCCTTGACTCCAAGCGCAGCATGAATGTTGGAATTTTTCTCAAGCAATTCAAAGGGTGAGTTCGATTGTTACCGAGCGCATTATTCATTGAACGCTTTCCCCTCTTTCCTTTTCTTTTTGTAAACGAACGAGCGCTTTAATGAGTCACGGAAACGGCAGCGCGCATGGCTAGACACGTTAAACATTTATTGGCTTGCGACTCCACAGCAGCCGGTAAGGGGTTCGTGCTAATTCACCTTGAGTGTCCACACTCACTCAAACAAAGACGAAGATCTCCCACGTACAGCCTTAACAGACTGTAGGGGCAAGTGCTGTTAGCGGGCACCTATGAAGGCCGGCAAGGTACACGAGGGGGTGGGTCGCCAGCACCACGCCCGACCGCCTTTGTCTGCCCAGTGGCGATGTTTACACACCGCACCAGGTACTCATTTGAGTCTGCGTCGACCTAGGGGAGGAGGCCCAGGACCGGTTAAGATAATGGTCACTTGGTGTTGGCCGTGAGCGGGAATCGAACCCGGCTCACCGGGTTCGTAGCGGAGCGCGCTAACCACTACACCGCCACTCCCCACTCACTCCACACACTCCATATTTGGTGTTTGAACAAATTAACACCTATATTCTTGGTTCTTTCGGTAAAGTCACGTAGAAGGGAAACAATAAAATAATAAAAATATCATATAAGTGACTTTACCGAAAGAACCAAGAATATGAATCCCTGCAGTCACGAAAGCTTTAAATCAAAATCTTAACACCTGTTTCATTGCCAGAAAGGGTAAAACCTATTCTTATTTTAATAGTATGGAATAATGTTTGCCGTAACATTTTCTTGTGGATATACATTTCTTTATTGATTTATTTCATTGTCTAACAAGCGCCCGGTACCAAAGCAGAAACCGTAGCAAGGTTGAGGGGGGCATAGAAACCCCCGCGGGGAGCAACATCCCAAACTCAGTGCTCCTCTGGGTTTTAGGAGAGGGGAGAAAATAGTGCTCACTGCCCCAGCCAGGTGGGGATTACGAGCCGGAGCGTCGGGTGGGGGGTGGAGGCAACGGAAGATGAACAGAAGTAAGGGGGTAGAAGACGGGGGTGGTGGGGGGGGGATATTGTGGATCATTTAAACAAATCCTGTCATGAGCAGTGACACGCGCACGCAATTAACTCCTCTAAACGCGCTGCAGCCTCTCGTTTCACCGGCTGCATCACCATGCGGTTGTGTAAATCTCTCACCGTCAGTCCTGGCTCACATCCTCAGTGTCTCCTTACTGTTTGTCCTCCCAATCACCTCCGCATCATCTCACCACCACCATCTCCGCATCATCTCACCACCACCTCCCATTTGCATCTCCATCATCTCACCACCACCTCCCATTTACATCTCCATCATCTCACCACCACCTCCTGATCACTTATCCACATCTCCCAACCATCTTATCACCAACTATGGCTCTTCATCAACTCTCCCCAATTCTTTCCACTATTTCCCAAACAATTCCTAACCATCCTCCCACCGCCTACACATTCTCTCCACACCTCCTCAACCCACTCACCATCTCCGCCCTCCTCCCCCACCCACACCTCACAATGAAGATGTTTGATGTTTCTCCACTAACCGCGCCCTTCCCCATCGAGCTCACTGACCGCCCCGATCCGACACTGTAGATGAAATAAGCACAACAACAATTAATTCGAACCCGACTCTTTGACCACTCAGGACCCTGGGCCATGACGTGATCCAGGACATCCTGGAGTGCCGGAGCAAGGACTACGGAGCGGAGAGGCTCGGGGAGCTGCTCAAACTCCTGCCGCAGGCGGACGAGGTAAGGGTGCGGTGACGGACGCCCTGAGGGTGGGTGGTGTTAGGGGGCAACAGGGGGGGTGTCACATATAATACTCAGCTAATCTTCCCGTGTTTACTAAAAAAATAATCCACAGGTCCTTGTCATTCCACTTAAGAGGGGAGCCAGGACCGGTTCAGATATCACTCACAGTGCACTAACCACTGCGCCACCGCTCCACCACCTCTTTTACTGTCCATTCACCAATATCCCCCAATTCAAGTACTTTGCTGGCTAGTTCTCATGATAAATGTGTCTCCGTGTTCTCCACGTGTCCCCGTGTGTCTCAGCACGCCTGTGTTCCATTGTCCCCATGTGTCTCCACGTCTCCGCGTGGATGGGGCTGTCCCGCTGCTGTCCCCATGTCCCCGTTGCGTCTGCGTGGACCGGTTTCCAGGTTGTCCCTGTGTGTTCTCTTACGTCCCAAATGCCCGGGGCTTCAAATATTTCACTGAATATTTCCCAGCTCGGTGGCAGACTGGGAATAGCCGCAGCCATAGCGAGAGGCGAACTGGATGCGGTGTGCTGGGCGCAGACATATGATAAAGAGCTGTAAGGCTCAGTGGGCCTAACCTGGTGGAATATAATAAATAGTTTAGTTTTATTTTCGAGGTCGTCTTCCTGGGGCCGTGTGGCCGCTGTATCTCACTCGTCAATGTGTCCCCCCCCCCCTTCAACACCTCCCCGCCACCCCCACCCCACCACGTGCGCGCTCCCCGATGTTGCTGGGCACAGCTGAGTCAGCTGAAGCAGTTTCGCGGAGACAGGAGTCGGCTGCCGGCTCCCGACGCCTTCATGCTGCTGTTGATCGAAGTGCCCTGGTAAGTGGAGGCCCTCCCCTCCTCATTCCATAGACTGAACCGGGCGCGGTGGCACGCGCTTCTGCGGCCCGCAACTTTGGGGGGGGTGGTCCAAGGGTTTGCGGATTGTACCGATACAATTTGTTGGGTGACAGGAAGAGAGTACAGCAAGCGGGTTCGTGAAACCTTTGAGCGTTCTCCCTGCCCCGTGGTTGGGTTTTCTGCGGGTACTCTGGTTTCCTCTGAGGCGTCATCTTCTCAAGGGATTCTCAGGCACAGGGTAGTACACTGCCAGCTGCAGAAGCGCCACGTGGATATTTACTCCGTCTCGCATCACGACATTGAAAGCACGACTGGAATATAATTGGGAAACAACCAAGGACCTAAGAAACATAAGAAACAACACCGTGAATAGGGTTCAGTGTTTGTTGGCAACTAGTTAGAGGTACTGGCTGTGGGATAGAATGCAGCAGCCTGCAATTATGCTTTTAAACTACAGTCTTCGGCGATAAGCTGCCTGCCTTGTTTAATGTACAATTGCCAGATGATGGGTGGGTAATTGTCACCAAATAAAATGGAGAAAAGTGTTCCTTTGGGATATGAGAGGCGCGGCGCTTTGTCCTGGATTCGTTTATGGGAACGCGAGGTCATTTTACGTTCCGATTAGCGGCTTTATTCCTTTTATTCGGTTGAACTTTGAGTTTCGGTTTCCATTCTACAAACATTGTTCACCTGCAAAGTGGGGTGTATTTTTCACACGAAGATGCGGTGTGGTCGGCACTGACCCTCAGTCAGCCTTGCGGTGTTTTTTTTTCATTTTAAGCTGAGTCGACCCCAGGGAAGCACAGACCTAAGTCACACATCGATTGCTACTGGAATCCAGCCCAGTTTCAGTGAATGGTGGCCTGAGCCAACACACACTCACACACTGACTCAGACTGCAAATAAATCTCCTGTGGAGTTTATCCTCAGAGCTTTAATGTGCCAAGTGTTGTTAGCGAGCACCTGCTAAGGCTGAAAAGACACACAAGGCGTGTGATGTTCACACACCACATCACTCATGCTTTGAGGCTGAGCTGACCTAGGGGAGACCTAGTACAGGTAGCCTGGGTCAACCATTGTCCCTGGTGATCGCAGAGCCACTTGTCGCATGGGTCTCACGCGAACGCAGCGCGGCGGTGTTCAATAACGGCGAACTGAATAGGTCGGCCGTCCTTTGGGAGCCCCATGTGGGTGCGTGCGTGCGTGTTCACGCGCACGCAGGGGCGTGCGTGTTCACGCGCACGTAGGGGCGTGCGTGCGTGTACGGTTCGAGCGTCACGCTCATTCACTGCGTCTCCCATTCACGCTCCGTGTGCCACTGTCACCGACGATGATGAATAGAGTCGGGGCACTGAGAGCCTCTCTCTCTCTCCCACCCTCTCTCCTAACTCAAGCGGGAGCTCGCGTCTCCCACGACCGCCATCCTCAGGCGTCACTTGGCCGCTCCTAGCAGCAGCAGCCCCACCACCCCTGACCCCCACCCCCCCCACCACCCTATCCAGAGGCGAGGGCTTGTTGGCAAACAGAAGGGTGACGTTCCGCTGGCGCTTGCGTCACATTTTAGACCGAGCATAAAGCGCGTGACGCAATTTAGCGGGGGGGGGGGGGGTGCTCCCGTCACGAGGCGCCGCTCGGATTCAGGGGTCCTCACAAAGCGGAGCTCACGTGATGGGTTCTCTCGTGGCGCCGCGGGTCACGACGCTCGCTCGCTCGCCCGTGCCTTCCACGGTGCCCACGTGCGCACCGTTGGTTCATTAGCGAGCGCGTGGAAGGAGGATGCTGGGCCAACAAAGGGGGGGGGGGGGGGGGGGGACGAGCTGGCGCCGAACGCGAGAACGTTTCTCGTTCGTCTTGCTCGTGGGCTGAGACAATCTGGTCGGACGTGTGACACGCCGCGGATGTGGTGAGGCTATTGACGCGCTGTCCTCTATGCGTTGCGTAACGCCGGGAAGGTGCGGCGGATAGTATAGTTTCTGTTTCGTTTCTTTGAATCGCGAGGTTCATATCCTTCCATCGTAATGGTTCTCTTATTCAAGGCGCTTGCTCTGAGCCTGTGGTACAAACTCCAACTTTGCTAATGCGAGGGCGAGTCTATCCATAGGACAACCACTGCGGACTTCTCCACAGAGTCGTATTTCGTTTTATCCACCCCGGAGGCATGATGGGCCGAGTGAAACACCGAACCGGGGTTTGAACTTGCAACGTTACAATTGCGAGCCGCTCGCTCTGCCGCCGAGCCACCGGGCCTGGCCATTCACGGCAAAGTCTCCTGTCGCTTAGTGAAGACGAGCGGTGGGGGGTGGCAGCCACGGAGGACGTCCGTCGACAAGATGTATAGACGGAGCACCCACGCAGGCGCCAGGCGGCTCGTCACATCGCGCCAGAATATGGCTGATCACGATGAGTTACTAGGTTTGGGAATGATGGACTCTTTTTAATAGCCTGTTCTCTACGGCAGAAAGTGGCATGGCTTACAAAGTGACACTGACCTCTGCGTCCTCAGTCCAGAGTGGGATTAGCGTGGCATCTGAGTTTTTGAAGTGGCCAGGCACGGGAGATGTCTATGCCGTGACCTCCACGCGTATGGGGGTCATGATCAGCGCTTTAATGCGTTGCGAAGGCGCTCGGTGACAAGTAGCTGACCCCGTTAACTCGTCACCGCCACTTTCGCAAAACACGGCGAGGTGTAAACAGGTGTCACACCCCTGTTGTGTGCGCGGGTCACGCATGTAAACACGCGTGTGTGCATGTGTTCGTAAGTCATGTCCTGTAAATGTGTGTATATGAAGGGCAGACAAATAGTCTATGGGAACACGACATTGTCAAATAATAAACATTTGCACAATCGCTCAACATATTTTGTCTCCCCAGCCCAGGAGGTCAGCAACCAAAAAGCCAAGAAGAGCCATTTTCATTTTTTTTTCGAATTCGGTAAAACCAATAACTCAGTTTATCGAGAGCCGCAATGCACGTGGCGAACGCGAGACGGTGGTCCTTGATAAATAAACGCCACGAAGCAGTTTCTCAAAGAGCCGCAGGGTTGCCCCGGCCACGTGGGGCGAGAACAAGCACAGCAACGTGAAGTGCCTGCCCCGCTTTCCCAAACGCCTCTGACCGCCCTTTGCGGCCGGAAACGCCGGCACGTCCGTCCACCCGTTGGCGTGCTGGTGCCGTCACTTACGACAGCCAAATAAATTAGGTCGTACAATTAATTTTTCGACGTTGTCCGGCAGGGTCAGCTTCAGCACGTTCCATTGTTGAGCTGCACCGCGCGACAACAGCCTGTCCCTCCTGCCTTCACCAACCCGACCGAGCATCGTGGCAGAGTATCGTCAAATTATACCCCCCCCCCCTCCCTGCCATATCCAGCAGTGGAGTGACAGGTTGGCTGCACTCGTGCACGTCTTGATTTTGGGAGAGGCCAGTCGGTCGAAACATCGTTTTCTTCTTCTTCTTCTTCTTGGCGCAGGAACCAGCAATCGCGTCTTCACTGCAAAGTATTTAATGGTGCAATGATTCTGCGAGAAAAAAAATCACAAACCGATCTCCGCTGTGTGCACCGCAATACATGGGAGGAGCGCTCGTTGGGGACACGTTCACGCATCGCACCGTGAACCTGAACGACCTGCGTCTCGGTGCCCAGCCACGGCAAACCAAGAGTGGTGCGGTGCAATCCGAACCAGTCCTGGGACCCACTCCCTCCCTCTCTCCCTTCACCACGCTGCCCGATGTGGTGAAGTATGGTGAAGTTGTCCCCCCCCCCCCCCGTGCCAAGATCAAAATGGCATGGGAAGGAGATGGATTGACCCCGGCTTGTAAATTGTGTACACTGATTATACGCACACGATAATTATACACACACACACACATACTGATTATACATACACACACGTGCTTAGTTTCAATGCGATTATCTAAGCACCGATCCAGTGCTGGCGCGTTGTCTCTGCTCGCCCAGACAACAGGACGATAGCCTGCACTGATCGCGAAGAGGGTTTACTTTCAGCATGCATGGGCTCGCCGTGTGTGTTAGCGTGTGCACGTCCGAATGTGTGCATGTGTATCCGTGGCTGTGGGGAGCACAGCACTTGCCCCAACAGTCTGTTAAGGCTATAGGGGAATATTTTTCTCCGTGGAGAACGGTCGTACAAGGGTTAGCGCGCAGCGCTAAGGACCCGGTGACCCTGGGTTGATTCCCACTCAAGACCAACACCGGCGACAATTATCCGAACCGATTCTGAGCCTCCCCTAGGTTAACTCAGCCTCAAATGAGTAACTGCTGCGGTGTGTAAATATTGCCACTCGGGGGACAAAGCCGGCCAGGCGTGGTGGTGGCCACCCACTGCTCCGCGTTCCACACCGGCCTTCAGAGGTGCTCGCTAACAGCACTTTCCCCAACAGTCTGTTATGTCTATACGGGGGGGTCTTTGTATTTATCTTTGTTCGTGTCTATCCCTGCATGCATTACGCTGTTTTCACTCCTGGGGGACCCCATGGTTACAGGCGTAGTCGGGGACGCGCTCCTGCCACGTGCATCCAAAGACAAAGATCCCCCATACAGTATAGCCTTAACAGACTGCAGGGGCAAGTGCCACGTGCACCCACACACGGTCCCACACGCGCCATCCCTCCTCGCAGGAACCCAACAGCGGCGTGCTCGTGACGACCATGATTTGGGGTTGCGTCCCATTAAGATGAAATCAAATGTAAAGTGCAGAAGCTGTCCCCACCGCAAGAGCGGCTTGGCCTCGTCTCGTCACCGCTGTTAATGTCGATGGCAGGTCGAGTCACTGCACGTCGTGCGTGCCCAATGAGGTGGAGGCGTTGCCGCGGTTAACGAGTGGTATCGAGTAGAGATGGAGCTCGTGAACGTTTGCATTTAAGGGTGTAGTAAAATTGAGTGTCTGTAAGGTATTTGAGGAACACTTTTGTAATTTTCGATGTCGTTGTTTTCATAACGTAATGAAAATAGTGGCCGCACTTTTGTGTCAAATAATAATGACGTTATATAACTTCATAACATTTAATAACGCGTATTTTCACGTAATTAATTTGATACTGTTAATGATTGGGTTGAACGACACGCAAAAGCATGCTCACAGACAGCAGCGAGGCATGACTCCCACCGCATGTATAGTACTGTACAACACGCACCTTTGCGTGTTGTTAGATCTCTGTAGTTGGTGGTCTAGACAAGGCTGAGAGCATTGCACGTGCAATGCGCCCATCGCGTGACCTGCACGCAAGGCCGATGCACGGCAGCGGGGCCTCTGCTGTGCGCCAAGTGGTGGCCTCTGGTCGCGTCCAGCCCTCGCGGCGCTCCCCTCGTTTGTGACGAGGTTCGTGATGAGGTTTGCGATGAGGTTGATTATGAGGTTTGCGATGAGGTGTGTGATGAGGTTCGCGATGAGGTTTGTGATGAGGTTTTTCTCACCATTTACAGAAAGCGTTGGATTGGAATATATATATTTTTTTCTCCATTTGGTTGATGATTACTTTTTTTCTTTCCCAAAACGGTGTTTCTTCTCTGCGTGCCATTACATTCAGCGCCTAACTTAAACCCAGGTCTCCCTTTGCAACAACAATAAAAAAGGCATCCCTGGTCTCAGTGAGCTCTCAATAAACTTAAAAATATATTTTTTAAATGTACAAACACAGGCGAATAAAAACCGTGGTCGTGAACACGATGCCGTCGATCTCTCCACGTCGGAGTGTCTCCCCTGGGTGGCGTTTAGCTCCGGCGTCGGTGGTCCAAAGCCATTTTTGGTGAAAATTCCAAAAAACTGAACGAAGCCGCTATTGTGATGGGCGGCACGCACGGCGCGCGGCACTCATTAACCTACACGAATTTTAAACGTCGCCAGCTCTGTTGACAACGCTGCGTGTGATGGTTTGCACGCTGTTCTGCCAATGCAGAGGTCCGTCGGTCTGCTTCGATTTCCCGGCACGGCAGTTTTGTATAATGAGCTATTATCTTAAATGCCAACACCCCCCTCCCCCCCTCCATTGCTGCATACGTCCATCCAGCAATGCGAATGACGACACCCACAGCGAAACTGATCGACAGGTCGCACGTGGTGGTGGTGGGGTAAAGTGTGGGTACTTCCACCTCTTCCAAGCCGTCTGGCCAGCGTGGAAGAGGAAGCCAAAACACCTTTTTTGTAAATGCGCCGGCTTCCATAGCTTCCCTTTTTGGTGCATTCCCTTCCGCCAGCAGCGGCGCTGCACCTTTGCCGCTGCCGCCGATGAAGCAATGTCGTTGTGTGCGCCGGTGTTCTGATCGAGCTGCTCTTGCGCGTCTTCTGTTTTGTGCCTCTCTCTCCCCGCCCCCCGTCCTCGTGCTGCAGCTACGAGCTGAGGCTGCAGCTCATGGTCCTCAAGGAGGAATTCCACCCCACAGTGGCCTCGGCACGCGACGGAATCCGCGTGGTGCGCCAGGCGGTCACGGGTACGGAGCCTTTCTCTCTCTCTCTCTCTCCCCGCTTCCTACTCGAGATGTTAACTACCTCGCCTGGTATACACGAGGTCGGGTTCGATCCCGACCCTGACGCCTGCTGTATATTTGGAGTTTGTGTGTCTCTCTCCCTGTGGTCGTGTGGATTTTTATCTGGGTCCTCCGGTTTTTCCCTCCACATTTACAATGAAAGTCATGCGTTTAGAGTATTCGGCTGCTATAAATCTCCACGTGATGACAAGCCACTTCGTTGAGCTATCATTTATAATAACCAGGTCGCTTCTGAAAAGAAGAATTATATAGCTCAGTGCGCCCTTACCTTGTAAAATAAAATAAAAATGTTTGTTTATCGCTTTAGTTTGTTATGCTCGCGTGCAGCAACGCGCATCACCGTCATCGCTGACCCTACCCACCCGAGCGACGCCGCGCTCCGCTTTCTTTTGACACGCGGGGGGAATCATTGTCTCCTCGGGTTTTTTTGTTGTTGTGTTCTTTAAAAACTCGCTTTTTTTTACACTTCGCCTTTGAAGTTAAGCGCGTGGGGGATGTGCGGGCGAGCGGGCGGGCGGGCGAGCGGGCGGGCGGGCGAGCGGGGTAGCTCCGGTATCAGCGAGCTCACACGGCCGGTTACCGACGGCCCCCATGCCAGGTGTGACCCCATTGAGAAAACTGGAACGCGGAGGGAGTGGGTACTGCCCAGGCACATCTCCACCACCCACCACCCAAACCTTGCGGGGGCCGCGGGAGTTGTTTGACCATACTCCACCACCAGTGGTCAGTGCAGGTCGGTGAAGCGGGAAGAGTGGGTGCACATAATTGGGTTTTAGTAATAAAAAAAAACACAAGCCAGGTGCCACAGAGACCACTGATGATAGCTGTGGCACACTGCCACTACCGCCCCACCCAGACCTGAAGTTGTTTCGCCTTTCACGACCGCTACTCCCACTGTGTGCTGTGATTTATGCGTTGTTTTCAGTGGCGCCGTCCTCGCTTTTATTAATATATGAATGGGGTCTTTCAGGTACTGCCTGATTCGGCTCAAGTCTTACGCACTGTGTCCCAATAAATCAATCAATTAAATCTTTATTTTACGTGCCAATATCGCCGCCAGGATAGTAGGCATCGGTGCACATTTATGACAGAACGGGAACGGTACAGGGGCATGGAGCAACAGAATCATAATATTTATTTATACTGCACGAGGAATCCGATGAGCTATAAAGCTCTTTTTCCCAGATGTCCAGTCGGGGCACGGGGTCAGAACGTAACAACAACAAACAGTACAACAAACCTCGATAGGAGTGCAATGTACAGGAACGGAAAGCAAATCACTTACAACTAAAATATATACGAATGCCATCATTCGCCAAATATAAAGGATGCACACGCATATATCTCACCCACACGCGAGTTGTGATGGTCCTTTGAAAAGACGTGTGCGCATTTGTATCGATCACTTCGATGTTTTGTTACAACAAAGTTTCACGCGAACAAACGGGCGCTGACTCGGATAAAAGAGGTCACCGGAGAAGCGGCAAGGGACGCGGTGCTGATGGACGTGAAAGTTCCCCGCGCCGCTGACCCAGCCGCAACTGTTTGTGATTTCTCCGTCGCTTGGGAAACCCAAGTCGGGCTCTAGCAGCCTCGGGCGTTTCTTTTTTATTAAATCTGAAAATGCCACACTAAAAAAACGAATCCGCAAAATGTTATACGTGCGTCCTCACAGCCAGGGGTGGATCCGGCAGGGTGGGTTGTTCACGTGTGAGGAGGAGGAGGTTCACGTGTGAGTGGAGGAGGAAGACGCGTTGGCGAGTATCAGTGTCACGTGGCAGGGGTGCAGGCGGCGTGTTAAGCATTGCGTAGCTGGGTGGCTGGGTGGGTATGTGTGTACGTTGAACTTGTTTCTCACCGTACGTAGTCAGCCGTGCTAATCGGAGGTGCAGGGGAAGGATAACAAACTAAACACAGAAAGCAGTTCTCAAGAAATGAGTTTTCACTCAAGATTTGAGAGTGCATAGCCCCCAAGTGGCTTCCTAATATCGGAAGGAAGAGCGTTCCAGACGGCCGCAGAAGCACATCTGCAAGCGCGCGATACAGTGACCACCGTCTTTGTTCGATGGTTCGCCAAAAGCCGCTGCTGCGAGGATGACCACCGGAGTTTCCGTGGTGGTGGTGGTTAATGCTCCTTGACAAGCTTGGTTGCTGGTGGCTGCGTTGCTGGCTACCTGGGTGGCTGGCTGGCTGGGTGGCTGAGTGGCTGAGTGGCTACTTGGGTGGCTGAGTGGGTGTGTGACTGGATGGGTGGCTACCTGGGTGGCTGGCTGGCTGGGTGGCTGAGTGGGTGGGTGACTGGCCAAGTGCTTTTGTTCAGAAAAAAAAAGAAACATGAGTTGCACCAAAACTGAGGATCAGGGACCCTGAGTGTGTACAACCTAAACAAGCCAGGGTGGGAGTTGCGAAAGGGGGCCCACGTGACCCCCAACTTTACCTGTTGTCCCGTCAACTTATGTTAACCAACCGGTTTGCAGGGACCTCCACGAGTCTCCATTTCGGAGATGCCTACAGCCCGTCCCAAATGAATGCGCACACCGCCAGTGGCAGTGCTGGCAAGTGCACTGGGGCTCACGGCCCAAGGGGCCCAGGAGCTGTTTCGTTCCTTATACCAGGGCCCATAGCAAGGGTCGCTTCACTCACTGCACGCTGTGCCATGCAGACAAAGACGAGCAGGTTGTCCGCGTATCTCGCACGTCTTGAGCGTGAATTAGGGGTAGACGGACGGAGGAAGGAAGCAAATCGCTCGGTTGAAAATGTCGCCGAGGCAGCAAACATTGGGGGAGTGTGGTCGGCTTGGGCCTCGGTGCAGGGAGTGAAATGGGGCATCCTGTCCACCTTGCCCCCAGCCCACTCCTCTTCCCAGCCCGTTGCCCGGGCCCCTTCGGTACCATGGGACCCAGCGCAATTGCACCGCCTTCACACTCGATAGCTACGCCAATGGCCATGAATGCATCAGTGCACATGCCGCCCACATGGGCAACACAATGAGGTGTTGTGCTCCGGGCGAGTGTGTGTCTGTCTCTGTGTGTGTGTGTGTCGGTGGGGAGCGGTAGTGTAGTGGTTAGCGCGCTGCACTATTCCCGCTCACGGCCAACACCGGTGGCGATTATCTGAACCGGTCCTGGGCCTCCCCTAGGTCGAATCGGCCTCACATGAGTACCTGGTGCAGCGTGTAAACAACGCCACTGGGGAGACAAAGGCGGTCGGGCGTGGTGCGGGCCACCCACCCCCTCGTGTGCCGTGCCGGCCTTCATAGGTGCTTGCTAACAGCACTTGCCCTTGCCCCAACAGTCTTTTCAGGCTACACGGGGGATCTTTGTCTTTTGTGTGTGTGTCGGCGGAGTGTGACGCTTTGCCGGCGGTTAACGAGTTCGCAAGTTGCGACCCGGTTGACCTCAGCCGTGTTCCCCTCCTGTGACCCGCAGAGCTGCAGGCGTGCGAGCAGCTCCACAAGGTGATCCACCTCGTGCTGAAGGCAGGAAATTACATGAATGCGGTAGGTCAACCGCCTCGATCCCTCGCTTGAAAGAAACAAAGATAGAGTGTGCATGCATCACAAATGCATGCGCCGCAGTCAACATCGGTGACGACTATCTTTCTGAACCGGCCCTGGGTCTCCTCTTGATTGACTCAGCTTTAAATGAGTACATAATGCAGTGCGCGAAGCATCGGCCTTAATAGTTGCTCGCTAACAGCACTTGCTCCAACAGTTTGTTAAAGATTTTGATTTAAAGCTTTTGTGACTGCAGGGATTCATATTCTTGGTTCTTTCGGTAAAGTCACGTAGAAGAGAAACAATTAAATAATAAAAATATAAAACAATACAATTCTCACGACGTTTCGACTGCAACACAAGCAATCATCAGGTGTGAAAACCACAGCAAGAAAAATAGTTTATTAAAGACTTTACGGGGGAACGTTATCTTTGTCAATACCCAGTACTTACAACCTAGGTATATAATTTTTTTGCTTGACATTTTTATTTTATATAAGCGCAAAATATCTCGAGTGGTAAAATAGCAGGCTGTGTGTTCCGAGTTCGCACGTTCAAATTACAATGATTATGACCGTCGCCCGGGGACGATATTTACGATCAACACGGCGGCTGCAGTTGCTGTTGCCTCCTCCTCGTCCCCCCCTCCTCCCGCTGAGGCTCAACGCACCGCGGCTGACGCCACTGTTGTCCCAACCCAGGGAGGGCACGCAGGAAACGCCGCGGGCTTCAAGATCACGTCGCTGCTGAAACTCGCGGATACGCGCGCCAACAAGCCCGGCATGAGCCTCATGCACTTTGTGGTGATGGTGAGTTCGGGAGAGCGTCGCGCGCGTGTGCGTGCGCACGCAACGATCCCTCGTGTAGCCTTGCGTAGACCGACGGGGGCACATGCTGTGAGCGAGCAGCACCGCTGATGGTCGGCAAGGCACACGAGGCCAGCATCCCGCCCGGCCGCATTTGTCTCCCGAGTGGCGGTGTTTGCACATCGCACCAGGTACTCGCTTAAGGCCGAATCGACTTAGGGGAGGCACAGGACCAGTTCAGGTATAGCCGGGTTTATGGCGCAGTGCGTGATCCACCAAGCCCCTCGCATGCACGCGCTTACTGGTGTCGCTCCTGCTTACAGTGACACGTCGCTCTGTGTGCATGTACACACCGCGTCACTGGCACACCACAGCGTAGTTTTTACTGACACCATGGGTGCACGCACCAGGGCACTGACATACATTTGCTGGCACAGCGGAGGATTGGCAATTATAATAATTCATTTTATTCAACCGAGAAAAAAAAGCCTCCCTACTTCCGTTGTTATGATTGGCCAATTCCATTTTTGAGTGTTTGGCTGCATGTGGGAAGAAACGGGAGAAACCCCCAGGCATGTCAGGGGATAACACTCAAAGCATGGCACGCATGGATTAAATTCGCTGCTGCTGGATTGTCATCTCAAGCCCACAAACACCCCCCGGTATTCCCAGGCGGTCTCCCATCCAAGTGTTCTCCAGGCTCAACCGTCGCGTCGCTTCCGACTTCTGACTACGTGGCAGCAGAGAAATGCAGCACGAGACATTGTATGTCAATGCACTGGCGCCCTGCTGTTCCACCACGGAGCCCCACAGCCACATGGCAGCCCGCTCGCACAAAGTCGCCGCTCGCGCAAAGTCGCCGCGCATCCGAGCAATGTCCACGCTCAAACCTGCATGGCTTCCGAGAGATCTGACGAAGATCGAGCACTTTCAGAGCGATTTGGTCGTTGGCAACGTTACACGCATCTGCACACACGCGCGCACTCTTTACATTGCTGGCACACACACACGCACACACTCCACACTACTGACACACACGCACACTCTCCATACTACTGACACACACACCGACATACTCCACACTACTGACACACACACACGCACACACTCCACACTACTGACACACACGCACATACTCCACACTACTAACACATACGCACACACTCCACACTACTGACACACACACATGCACATACTCCACACTACTGACACACACACACACACATACTCCACACGACTGACACACGCGAACACTCCACACTACTGACACACACGCACATACTCCACACTACTGACACACACACATGCACACACTCCACCCTACTGACACACACGCACACACGACTGACACATGCACACACTCCACACTAGTGACACACGCACACGAGGAGGGGCACTCGCGAACGCGCTCGCACGCGTTTACCGCGAAGCGCGCAGGATGCGGTGAACCCCGTTCACCGGGGTGAACCCCGCGGCCGTCCTCGCGGAGACGAGGTCACCCAGGGCGTGCGCCGAGCGAGCTGCTCGTTCGCGACTCGCGCTCGGCTCCCGCTGCTGCACGCCGCCTCTTCGCACGCGCCGCGTGAAATTTTATTCCGCCCGTGGGTAATGGCGATGTTAGGGCGGTGGAGCGGTGGCGCGGTGGTTAGGGCAGTGGCCCGATGCAACCTCGTGGTTGTTTAAAGTGGGGGGGGCGGGGAGCGGGGACAAATAAAAGCTTAGGGGGGAGGGCACGAGACACTGACCCCCCCCACCACCATCCTTGACTCACATAGCGTGGGGTAGAGCTTTCAACTGGCTGACCCCATGCCCCCTACTGCACACTTGTGAAAAAGAGCCTCATGGCTCATCGGATTCCTCCTGCAGTCGAGATGAAGATTCCGATTCTGAGCTTCGTGCCCCAGCGGATTAACACTGACGTTGGCCATGGCTGGGGGGCAATCAAACTCGGGTCGTCGGGATCACAGCGCAGTGCATCAACGACTGCGCCACAACTGCCCGCTAGCTTTTTCACTCGGTATAATGAAACAATGTCGATTGGTATTGCACTTGCGCGCAAATATCAGCATCGTCCCTTCACTTATTTTTTGTTTAAATATATCTACTATCTCTACCAAGATGTCTGGCCAGAGGGGAAAAGTAGGCCAAACACCTAAGAGGGTCGATGTTGAGCTACCCCAAGTGCTTGCCCTTCCCCCAGCAGTGGTGAGAGTGCGCAAAAGCAGCGCTGCACATTTTTGACCTTTTATATGAAATATCTAAATGCATTTATGAAAAGTGTGCAATCTACGTCGACTCAACCTCAAATGAGCACCTGGTGCAATGTGCAATCATCGCCACTGGGGAGACAAAAGCGGTCGAGCGTGGTGCTGGCCACCCACCCCCCCCCCCCCTCGTGTGCCACAGTGCCGGCCTTCATAGCTTCTCGCTAACAGCACTTGCCCCAACAGTCAGTTCAGGCTGCACACCTCCCAATTAGCGCGGTTGGCTACGTACTGTGCGAAAGAAGTTCGACGTACATACGTGGCTATACGGGGGAGGGGGGGGGGGAGTTTGGCCGTGTTTGTAATCTGTGGGGCTTATTACATTTACACGTACCGTGCAAGAGAAAAACACATTGCTCTGATCTAAGTGATTGCCACGTGTTGCCTCGCCCACCAGGCTTCGCGTTCGCGACCGATTTTGTGGCCGCGTGAATCTGACCCCCCCCCCCGTGTCGTGTGCTTGAGCCTCTTTAACACGAGGGGGGGGGGCTTTGACGAGCGCAGCGCGATGGTGTGCACGGGGCGCCGACTCTCGTTTTTGTTGTCATTCTTGCAGGAGGCGCAAAAGGTGGACCCCTCCTTGCTGTCTTTCCCGGACAAGTTGGTGCACATTGAAGAAGCGAAGAGGTAAACGCTCTCGGAGAGAGAATGTACTATTCACCTGTGGCCTTCTCTCTCTCTCTCTCTCATCCTGAGGTCTTACCAGGAATGGATTTTGAGGTTAAGGGGCTTAAGGGACGTCGGCTCTGATGTCAAGGGCCCAACATTCCAGAGGAGCCCATGAACAAAAACACGGGTTTTTTTTAATTATTCATAAAAGTGGAACTGTTTATTCATCTTATCGATATATTATTAATAATGTAACACTAGAAATAATACAACCTTTATTATTGCTGTTTGAATTAGATTATTTTAACTATCAACGTCTTACGTAGATTAACCATCTCGTCTTGCACTCATGCGAGGGTTGGCAATGTTGTGTTTGGTGGTTCGCGCACAGCGCTGTGAACCTTGCGAACCCGAGTCCGATTCCTGCTCATGACCAATGACAGTGGCGAAAATCTTGAACTGGTCCTGCTCGCGAAGAGCACTTTCCCCAACAGTCTGCGAAAAGGCTATATGGGGGATCTTTGTCTGTATATGCAAGGGTAGAGGTAGTGGAGATGGGTGTAGGGGAGGAGTCTTTTCTGCTCTGGTGTCCCTGGGGTAAAGATACCTAAATCCGGCCCCGCCTGTAGGCTTCTCAACCCAGGCTCTGACACCAACGATCAGAGCTGGAATCTCTCACCACGCTGGGTCACATCAGTTTGCGCTGTCCTCCTGCGCTAGCGGCTGGCAGGCCCGGGAAGGCATTGTTGTTATTCCTTTGCCGTGGGAACGATGGGATGGCCATTCAAGTGTCAATCAGTGAAGATTGCGCTGTCCGTCCAGCCCCTTGCAGAACCGCTACCTCTCAGATAAAGTACTTAATGGCCGTGATGGCTCGTCACAACGTCTGTAGCTAAGTCGGCAACTTGACGGCATTTCCAGCGGACGGGCATGTCTGTTAAAGGGAGGCACAGCCCACTAAACAAATAACTCTTATCGTGTTGATAGCAGCCTGGGCTCAGTATCCCAGGGTGTCCAACACAAGCTTGAAGCTGAGCTAATGAAAAGTAAATTACTTTCTAGACGTGTTAACATGGTGTGCCATAGCAACGTCACAGCGTTGACGTATTCAAATATATGTGAGTAGTGTCGCAGCAATATAACATAACTAGAGTGCCATAATGGCGTGCTTAACTGCAACTTTAACGTCCATTTTCTTATCAACAAAGCTTCGAACTGGGACACGACCCAGGGTTCCATCAACAAGATAACAGAAGTTTGTTTTTTGGGTTGTGTCCTTCATTAAGCACCGCTTTGTGACAGTGGGGGCGAAACAACAGGAAGGTTCGCCAGCAGTGGCGTAGCTATCAAAGTGTGCAGGCGGTACAACTGTCACTGGGACCCACGGGCCAGACGGAGTCAGGCGCAAGGGGAGGGTAGGCCCATTTCTAAACTATTTTTTTTTTACAAGGTAAGGCCCACTGAACTATTCCATAGCTCTTTTTCAGAAGTGACCTGGCCACGAATGATAGCTCAACAAAGTAGCTTATCATTGAGTGAACATTTATAGCAGCCAAATATACCCTAAACGCGTGATGTTGATTCTAAATTTGGAGGGGAAATCCGGAGAACCCGGAGAAAAAAGAATCCACGTGACCACAGGGGAGAGAGACACCGCAAACTCCAAATATAAATGAGTGTCAGGGTAGGGATCGAACCCACGACCTCCTGTATACAAGGCGAGGGAGTTAACATCTCGCAACCACGATGCCCCACTGTTTCAACCGCACCGCGCCGCCGGTCGCTGGACCAGCGATTGACGGGAGGCGCCGTTGCTGTGTCGTCGTTGCCCGTGACCCAGGCTCTCGGTGGAGACGATGGAGCTGGAGCTGGAGAACATGAGCCAGAAGATCGCCTCGCTCCGCCAGAAAGTGCGCGCCGACCCTCAGCTCAGCCTTCAGATGGATTCCTTCTTCCAGGTGCCGGCAAGGAAACAAACTCAGGCATCCGGTCATCCGTTGAGCGTCGACGGTGTGACACAAATCGCCTGCGACCAGATCAGAATGTGCCCGCTCCCGTCGTTTTCTCGGAAGCTAAGCAGAGTTGGGAAAGGATAGTGCCTGGGATGGGCGACCACCATGCACAAGCAGGTTGTCGTGTAGGGCGACGGGGCGACATTGGTGGGCAGCAGAGGGCAGCGCAGCAAAACCCATCGTTGTACTGCGCCTTTCTCCCACATCTATGTGCCCCGTCTTCACCGATCCATACCGTTCAGAGCGGTGAAGTATGGCCAAACAACCCTCATGACCCTCACGGTGTGATGAGTCATGGGGGTTATACAAGTACACTTTTAGCACGAACTGATTCTTAACTTTTCTAGCCAATCAGACAAGGGGATTTTGCCACAATTCTGGGATATGGATCAATGTCTTATCCACCTGTCCATCATTTCAGTTGAGCAGCTTTGATATTTTTTTACATTAACCGCTGTGTGGGCGGTGGCTCTAGAAGAGCTTCATTGTCTATAAGCTAAGCATTGTACAATAAGGCATGAGCAGAGGCAGAGATTGATGTGCTTTGGCTCACCTCCAACGTTTAAAACATACTTCTTAGTGGAGCTTGCGTCTCCGAACCAGTGAGTTTGAGGAAGGGCAAAGCTGCTTCATCATCATCACGATCATCACTCGCAACCTTTATCTCTCCACTGCTGAATGAAGGTCTCCCTAGACCACCACCACAGCCCAGCCCTTACTTACAACCCTTACTAGTTGGCTGTGTCGGGTGGTGGCGGGTTTTAACGACACATTTGTATATTTACGCGATCTAACCCAAAAACACCTCTATTATGAATGTATTGTTTGTCCCCCTTCATGGATGTGCCACGTGCGTTCTCACCGTTGCTGTCCAAAGTTGCGACGGCCTCCCATCTCCGCGTTTGTGTCGCGTCAGTGTCCATCGCGTTGACTCGCTCAACACGATGGGGCGTTTTTTTTTTCTTACAAATAATTTGCCCGGGCCAAGTTTCGATAGATACATTTTAGGCCAATGTCGATTTATGTTGCGGCGGTATTCTCGATTACGCCTGTAAATGCATTTGTTATTGTTATTGTTGTTGCTGCTCTGATTTCTCTTCGCCTCATTGTTATGCTCTATACTACTTTAACTTTCTTGTCGCTTCATTGAGCCGGGGCACTTCCCCCCCCTGAGCTCCCCACCCAGTGGGCCTGTAAATGCAGTGGAGAGAAAAAAATAAACTTGAACATCGGAATGTGCACTTCAGCCTCATTTGGGAACGACTGCACGACCCCCGGACAAAGTTGCCACTTTTAAATCGACGCCGCACGGAAGCCTCAAACACGAGTCGAATCTTCAAACTCGATTGGTTGCAGGCGCACGATTCACATCGCCGCTGCCGTCGCTGACTCTCTCCCTTTTTTTGTTTGGCATTGCGTGCGCTCCGTCACGCGTGCTTTGCGTCACACGTGTGTGCTCGTGTCCGGCTGCGGGTGGCGTGGATCAGGAGGCATCGCGCACCATGGCAGAGCTGGGGCGCCGCCGGACGGTGCTCCGCGCCGACACTCGCTCGCTCGCCAGCTTCCTCTGCGAGGACGAGGACGGCTTCTCGCTGCAGGAGTGCTTTGGCATCTTCCACAGCTTCTGCGCCAAGGTCCGGAACGCCATCAAGGTACGCACCGGACTTCCCCGCCCCCCCCCCCTCCACCCCTCTTGTGCTTGTTAAAAGAAAGCAAAGGCCAAGCCTGCGATATTCCAACTGTAAGCGCTGTAAATAGGGGCGAGTATAACCTGCAACTTTGGCCAGGTTTGTTTATATTTGGAATTGAATCGCATGTCGGAATACGTGAGTTTATATAAAATTATAAGATAAGGTAAACGCTGAACCACCCCACGCCCTCGCTTGGCCAGCGGTGGCAGTGGCGTGGTTGACGTGGAATCTGGTGCGAGGAATTAAATGGGGCCCTTCTGTCCAAATTCCCCTTTTCTCATAGCCCGGTGCCTTTGCTCCTCTAGCCCGTCGGCTCTGGTGCAGTTGCACTGCCTGCGCATCCCGATAGCTACGCCAGTGGCCACGATTTTAGCAGCGTGAGTGCCGTCACCCGTGGCTACGCGCTCACAACGTGCCTCCGTGCCGCCGCCCAATCTCCATCCCTCCACTCCCTGGCAGGAGAACCGCGAGCGCGAGATGAATGAGCTGCGGCAGCAGCGCACGCGGGAGGCGTCCTCGCTACCGCCGGGAGCCAAGCGGCGCTCGCTGGCCTTCCCCGCGGACGAGCCGGTTCCCCGGGGCAGCAGCAGCGGCAGCGAGGTCGACCCGGAGCAGGCTCTGCCCGAGTCGCCCGTCGCCGGCACGTCGCCCGTGACGCCCGTCTCGCCGATGCTCGCGCTCTCCCGCACCTCGGTCGGGTCCACCAATGCGCGGCGTAGCAGGCGGCTGCCGTCGGAGCTGGGTGGCCGTGACCTCTTGCACTTTCTGCACGCGTCGCCGCCGGTGTCGCCGCCGATGACGGCGGCCGGCGAGCCGAGCGAGCGGGACTTCGACAGCGATCGGGAGAGGGAGCACAGGCCGCTCGCAAAGTCCAGCAGCCTCCGTCGCAGCGGCGACCTCGTCAGGAGTCAGCGCGCCACCAGCCTCACGAACCGCCTGGCGTGGCAGGACGGAGACGCGGAGAGGCCCCTGGGCAGGGCGGTCGAGAGGAGCAGCAGCAGCAGCGCCGGCTGCGGCGAGACGGTGGCGAGGCGCTACGACTGGGAGGGCGTCACCGCGAGGCCGTACAGGCGGAGCGCCGACATCGGAGGCGGCGTGAGCGGCGCGATCTCTGACTTGGAGAAGGCGCTGGGCATCGCGCTGGGCGCCGCGCACAATGACACGAGGAGCGCCAGCCCCGCCGCCGGAACCGCGCCCTGGGCCGCCCCCGTGGCCAGGCGGTATGGGCGAGTGGAACCCGTGACCTCGGAGCCGGATGTCGCGTCCGCCGCCCCTGATCATCGCCAGGACGGCGCGACGGCCCCATCGCCGAGCGCGACAAAATACGAGCGCATCAACGGCGTGGTCGAGCGGCGCGAGCTCGTCAAGGGCTTGAAGTCCTACGATGGCGCTGTCATCGAGGTCGCGCCTCAGCAGCCGGAGGAGCCGGGCGACGTCGTCCTCGTAGACCTGGAGACGACAAAAGACGAACTCCCCAAGACGTGGAGGGCCGTGGCGGAACCTTCGCAGGAAATCGACGCCGGCCCAGCGCCGATGACAGAACGGCCAGCTGACGTCCCGGCACCGGCCGGCAGCGATAAGCCTGATGCAGAGGTGCAGATGGTTTACTACGTGTGTGGGTCACAGCCCAACGCACCCACTGCAGAGCCACCAAGGGCAGGCACGGATGCTCGGGGGGGTTCTCCGGATCTCGCTGTCATTAACGAGGCCTCGCAAGCGAGCGAAACCGGCGAGTCGAGCTGCTCTGACGAAGCAGTCGAGCGCCGCGTCTCTCTTGACAGCGCGGAGGAAGAAGCGCCAGTCTCGGCGCCGCCTGAACACCACGACCAACCAGCGCCGACCGATGATCCCCGGGAAGAATCGGACATGGAAGTGGCGCCGAAGGCGCGGGAGGAGCCGAGGAGGGAGACTCCGCCGCCCGTTGTGGGCTTGCGGCAAGTGAAGTCAAAGGTGGCCGCCTTCGTCCAGAGAACGCGGAGTTACAACGTGACGGCGGAGCCCATCAGGCCCAGGCCCGTGGGGGGTGCGAGCTCGTCGGGCGCCGTGACAATGAAACCGGCGAGCAACAGGACAACGTTCAGCACGTCTGCGACGGCCTCGCCCGCCAAACCGGTCAAGGCGGCAAGCGTCAAGCCCGAGACGTCGTCCTACCTGCAACGGGGCAGCCCCTTCCGGCGGTCCGTGATGTCTCCGAATCCAAAGTCGCCGCCAACGCCGTCCAATCGCAAACCGGACGTGGAGCGCGGCGGATGCAGGAAGCCGCAGGCAGCGCTCTCGGTGCCCGACGTGCGAGATGGCGCCAGCTCCGTCGAAAGGAAAAACCCGGTGAGCAAATTGCGAGCGACGTCGGGAACGGGAGGGGGCAGCACGACGGACGTCCGCGGGCCGCTGAACCGGTCCGACAGGCTGAGGGCGACAGTGCGGGTGAAGGCCGGGGCGCCCGTCGAGGGCGGCGGAGTCACGGGCCCGCGTCCCTCTGCCGCGCGGCCCTCCTCCGTCGTCGAGCGGTCGCAGAGCTTTGGCATTTCCGCCAGGAAGCCTCCCGAGGGCGGCAACAAAGTCACGCGGTCTGAGTCTCAGCGGACCGACGGCAAAGGCGCAACCTCTCCCACCTCTCCCATTTGCCTTGACCACTCGAGGCAAGTGAAATCCCCGGATCTGAAAGCCGGCTTCGTCGTTCGGTTGTCGGCGGTGACGCCGAGGCACGGCCTCGCACGGAACCACCTGTCCGCCTCCTCGTCGCAGCTGGGACCGAGGAAGTCGTCGTCGTCGGATCTGCCGGAACTGAGCCGGCACTGCGGCCCCGCGGCGCGGACGGACGGGCCGCAGGCCGGGCCAAGGGACGGCACCGTGAGCCCCGCGTCGTCGGACGGGCCCAGGAATTTGTCCGCCAGGGCCGCTGCCCGGGTGGCGGCGGCGGCGCCGCTGAAACCCGCGATGGGAATTCGGAGAACATCGTCGGAGAAATGTAGCCCCACGGACAACAGGCCGGGCCGGCCCCTATGGAAGTAGAGAAAATTGACGGTGATGAAAGTTAACAGATGGAAGAAGAAAAAAAATACGAAAAAAGAGTCACGTATAGCAAACGCTGAAGCGAGCCAGATTATCTGACCGACGTACCTTCACAGCAAACGCGCGGACTCGTCGTGCCGGCGAGGTCCCGACGGAGTCGAGGTCGACCGCGGCGACCGCTCACCGTGCGCTTTGTGCCACCCTGTGCCTTCCGTGCCAGCAGCGGTGGGGTCCCCGTGCGAGAGACTCTTGATAACGTCACGCTGGGAAACAAATACCTTTGCCTCACATCTCAGGTGCTGCTCTGTTTCTTTTACACACACGGTCCAAACGATATTCGCTTGAGTACTTATCGGAGAACGAGTGTAATGAGCGTATACCTTTCGGCTACATCTCTGGCCGTGATGTATTGAGAACTCAATCACGTGATGCACTGGTTTTCCTCGAGTGATGTGGAGCCACAAAAGTTGATATTTGTTAACATGGTACACGCACACACACACACACATCGTACACACACACATTGTACACACACACCGTACACACATACACTGTACACACACACGCGCAGTACACACTGCGGTTACGCATCAAAAGGTGTTGTCTCAGTGTATGGTGCATGTGTCTCTCACGAGTTGTATCCAGATTCTGTCTCCATATCACGAGACACCGCTCACGCCTCTTTCCCTATTCACGCGGAGAATGCCGAGAAGTTGGTACGCATGGCAGCCTGGACCGTGGTAGGCATGGCAACCTTGACCGTGGTAGGCATGGCAGCCTGGACCGTGGTAGGCATGGCAACCTTGACCGTGGTAGGCATGGCAACCTTGACCGTGGTAGGCATGGTAACCTTGACCGTGGTAGGCATGACAACCTTGACCGTGGTAGACATGGCAACCTTGACCGTGGTAGGCATAGCAACCTTGACCGTGGTAGGCATGGCAATCTTGACCGTGGTAGGCATGGCAACATTGACCGTGGTAGGCATGGCAACCTTGACCGTGGTAGGCATGGCAACCTTGACCGTGGTAGGCATAGCAACCTTAACCGTGGTAGGGATGGCAACCTTGACCGTGGTAAGCATGGCAACCTTAACCGTGATAGGGATGGCAACCTTGACCGTGGTAGGCATGGCAACATTGACCGTGGTAGGCATGGCAACCTTGACCGTGGTAGGCATGGCAACCTTGACCGTGGTAGGCATAGCAACCTTAACCGTAGTAGGGATGGCAACCTTGACCGTGGTAGGCATGGCAACCTTGACCGTGGTAGGCATGGCAACCTTGACCGTGGTAGGCATGGCAACCTTGACCGTAGTAGGCATGGCAACCTTGACCGTGGTAGGCATAGCAACCTTGACCGTGGTAGGCATGGCAACCTTGCTTGCTAAGACGGGGGGCGGGTGGGGGGCAGCAGCCAGGGCCACCCGGTAAACGTGGAACGTTCGGTCAACGCTGGGCCACCCCGTTGCTCCAACGGCTCCAACCACGTGCCAATGTCGGCCCAACGTTGCGCGCTTACTGGGACGGCGGCGGCGGCGGGCTCCACCGTGGCCACGGACGTGCACTCTGACGAAGCTGGTGCACGGAACGAGAGCAACAGAAGCAGTCCGTGTAGCCCTTTACGAGCCGTGCCACGCGCGCCCCTTCCCGTCGCGTCGATGGGAGCAGGGGAGCAGGAAGCGTTCGGTGGCTATGGGGTTGGGTGGCTCACGATCAACACCGGTGACGATTATTTGAACCGATCTTGGGCCTCCTCTAGGTCGACTCAGCCTCAAATGAGTACCTGGGGAGACAAAGGCGGCCGGGCGTGCTGCTCGCCACCCACCCCAATGTGCGCCGTGCCGGCCTTCATAGGTGCTTGCTAACAGCACTTGCCCCAACAGTCTGTTACAGGCTACACGGGGGATCTTTGTTTTGGTGGGTCATTCGCAGAGGGCGTCGTGACGGCACCCTTGCTCGGTGCGGCAGCAGCACCACGTGGGGGAGGCAGTGCCGCGTGTGATGCGGCACGTGTCGGGCCGTCCGTCTCTCCGCAGATGTTCGGGAACGACTTTGAAAGTTGAAGGGACAGTCTCGGTTTTTTTTTGTAGACGAATGATGAGAATCTCATCGGATGGAGGAATGTGTCAAGGAACCGAAGGGGTCCATGATTGGTAATATTTAATGGGGGGGAAGGGGGGAGTCCAGTACATGAATTGTCGCCACTGTCTAAAGTTTTAGGGTAGCGACCCCCCTGAGCCACCGCTCCATCCACTATCCCCTCCGTGCCACAGAAACTAACGGCTGAATTGAAGCGTTGAATCGTACGCGCTGGGCACACACACGCGGACACACACACACGCGGACACACACACACACACGCGGACACACACACGCGGGCACACACACACGGGCACACACACACAGGCACACACACACGGGCACACACACGCGCGGGCACACACACACACACGGGCACACACACACGCGCGGGCACACACACACGCGGGCACACACACACACACACTCGCGCCAGCCGTTCGTTTAGTTACTGCAGCGAGAAACCACGGGTGGAGCGGACACAGAACTACCTCCAAGCTCCACGCCAGCCAGCCCGCAACAACGAGACAACACATCGACAATGTCGATTCGGGGACAAGGCAACACGGAACGGAGCAATGAGAACCGCGCAGCAACAACAAAAAAGGCGGAAGAAAAAATAAACAAAACCGGGAGGAAATTCTGGGAGTCACCAAAGATCGCGCCGATTCAATGTCTCCCCCGCCACCCCTGGCCCCACAGCCGCGCTTTCCACGTTGCCGAAAGAGCGCATGGGGGGGGGAGGCGGTCGCACTCTGTGGCCCGGCGCTGTGAGCGCGTTGCGAGTGCGGCCCTGGGCCCTCGTGGCTACCGCTGCCTCGCTTAACGGGGCCCTTTCCTGCCGACACAAGCGGGGAGAAGGGGGTCGCAGGCCTGGCCCCCAGCCTGCACGGAGGGGCGTCTGGGTTTGAAGGGTCCGGAGTCACGGCGAGACACACACCCGCGTTTCGTTTTGGGATGCACTGTTGGCAAAGTAACGTCGAACAATGTACCCCCACGACCAGCACTCGTCCATCAAGTGGATTGACAAAAGGGCTGTGTGTTAAACAACACAAATAATAAAAATGCTACTACTTAGAATTATTATTTGAATTCAGGGAATGGCCTGAAATGAAGCTGGTTCGAGTGTGTTGGACAATGTATCAATACAGCCGTGGTTACTACTCCTTTGGACAAATATAAAACGAGTGGCCGTCTGCGGCCCTGCGCTCGGATTATGACATTGATTGAGATGTGTTTTTTATCACGCGTGTTATATGTCACGGACAGGTTGGAGCGTTACTTCATTATTCTCACTCCTACTCCCTCACTTACCTACTGGTGTCCCCCTCCCTTACTAATGACTTACGCCTGGATTAATGAAGGCTGCTAACAAACGAACTCGGGACCAAGAGAGATGTACAATCTGAAGGAATCGCTGTGATCCCAGACCGTCAGGGGAAGAGAGGTCGAGATTTCGTGTCTGACTGTGATACGAGATTTGTCAACTTGTTTTTTTAATGAGTGTTGTTGTTTAATGACACTTGCCAATTACGTTTATATAAACGAAAGCTGTCTATTGTATAAAGGTCGTCTATCAATGTCGTGTATCAATGTGAATGCGGACTCTCTACGTCGGCTCGTGGGAACACGCTCCACGCGACACCTCGTGCGGTGGTGAGTCTGCGGTGTAGGTGAGTGAGTCTGCGGAGTAGGTGAGTGAGTCTGTAGTGTAGGTGAGTGAGTCTGTAGTGTAGGTGAGTGAGTCTGCGGTGTAGGTGAGTGAGTCTGTAGTGTAGGTGAGTGAGTCTGCGGTGTAGGTGAGTGAGTCTGTAGTGTAGGTGAGTCTGTAGTGTAGGTGAGTGGGTCTGTAGTGTAGGTGAGTGAGTCTGTCACGTGGGTGCACTCTCCGTCCCGTGCCTTCTGCCTGAGCCCACGTGACACCTTCAGGTGCACAGCTGAAGAGGGCCACGTGCCGGGTGGCGTGACATTCGCAGAGTTTGCCGGGTGCCGTTTCGTTAGCCCGAGAGCGACGCGAAAACGACGTTCGGATTAACGTACAGCTGCTTGACTCCCGCAGCCCCCTTCCTCCTACTACTGCCCCACGGCCCTCGCCCTAACCCCACTCGAGGTGGCCCCAGTTCGGCGCGGAATAAATTATAGTGCGGGGCGCGGGCGAGACGTCGGCGGGACTCCGCTGCGTGCTTGTAAATAAATGCGCGTCACGACTACCGACCCTCGCAATCCCGCGTTTAATTATCGTTTTTTTTCTTCATCTGTTGCTTTTTTGATGAATTCATCGATTGATTGGTTTGATTTAATTCATTGTACCAGCAAGAGATTTATCAGTTGGACCAGAATTAAATGCATGGGGGGAGAGGGGGGGGGCGTCTAAGATTGAGAACTTCTGAGCAACGAGGTAATCGTTTCAGGATTAGAAATGCAGATCCGCTGGTTCGTGTAGCTCGACGGGTTTAGAAACCCTCCCCGCTTTAGGCGTGCGTGGAGGGAACAGCCGCGGGATCCACGCGCTACGCCGAACGCGAGAACATTTCGCTCGGGGTGGAACAAACGCGGAGATTGCCACGTCCTGCGGCCTCTGCTGGGGTCGTGTTCAGCCTGACGCGGCCCGCCTTCTAAGAGGCCCAGCGGTGTTCAGGTACGCATGGGACACTCGCTTTGTGAACGTTACTCGCGTGATGACGATGCCGTTGGTAGTGGCGCACAAGCACAATTAACACACACACCCACACCCTCTGTCAAAGGCACTGCCTTCAAATAAAAACGTACTGGATATAATCGGCGTCGTTTCGGGCAATGGCCCTCCTCCATAGTGCATAAAACCCAATGCGCTATGCAGCAGAGCCATTGGACGGAACGACGCCGATTACGTCGTTTGCTATGAAGGCAGTGTTGTTGACGAGTGTGTTTAGTTTGTTTGGTTTCGCAAGTGATCCCTTTCGCTCAGTTACGCAGTCCAAAGGCCAGAGCAGACGTTGTTACCACGTTATGGTGGCCCATTACCAAATGATAAAAGTGCTGTATTACGTCGGATCCCTGAAGCTAAGCTGGTTTTGAGCGTGGCTAGTATTTGGATGGGTGACCAGGTGGGAATGGCAAGAATTGGCATGCATCTCAAGGTGACCAGGACATGGCTGTAGAGCAGTGGGTTTTGAATATATCCTGCATGTACAAGCCTTGAGTGTTACCCCTATTATGCGTAGGGATTGATTGAACATCCCTAGGCAGGACCTTCTGAAAAAAAACATTCCTGAGACTCAATTAAGTTTTCTTGATTTAATAATTTGTGTCATTATTGTTATAAGTTGCACCGATTTATTTTGATCATCAATTTCGTGATAATTTGCTCGGTTTAAAATATCAGGATTGGTCATAAAAAAAAATCTGTGACGCCTATAGCGTCGCCATCCTATCCTGTGCAAGTGAAATATCTGGCCCTGACCCATGGACTCTAAAGTGGTCATGGCTCAACCACTGATGCTACATGACCTCTTGACCCACGCTATGCTCAAGCCCCGGTGGCTGAGAACCTGGATGTTGAGAGACAAAAGAATGTGGCGGCATGCAAAGGAGAAGAGGGCTTCGGCCGCCGCGAGGGGAGAAGAGCAAAATGGGGAGAGACAGGACTTGACTCGAGTTGTGAACGGCCCCCCCACTCACCGAGTGGGAGAGAGCTCCCTCAACAGCCGCACCTCCGCTAGAGCACGATTGGCTACGTACGGTGCGAAAGAAGTGCAACATACGTACAGCTCGTGAACATGGCAAAGAGCCCGCGTGTAGCATTTAAGCCTGAGGGGGCAAGTGCCGTTAGCGAGCACCTATTGGGTCTGGAATGGCGCATGAGGATGATGGTTTGGCCAACAACGTCCGGCTGCATTTGTATCTCCAGTGCGAATTGTATGCTGAGTAAACCAAGGGGAGGACCAGCATCGTTTCAGATGTCACTTGCCACTGATGTGAGCCATGGCCAGTAATGAAACTCAGGCCGCAGAGCCGTGCGTGTCTTGAAGTGCCATCTTCATGTCACGTGGTGGAGCGGAGGCACATTGGTTCGCACACTATGTTATGAATCCAGCAACCTCGGTTTAATGCCCGCTCACGGCTAACATCAGTGGCGAGTGATATCTAAATCGGCACTGAGCTACACTCCTCCACCAAACTGCGCTGACTGGTGTGATGTAGTATGGTGTCACAACCCCCGTGTGTGATGGTGTCACACAAACCCCGTGTCAGTATGGTGTCACACAACCCCCGTGTGTGATGGTGTCACACAACCCCCGTGTGAGATGGTGTCACACAACCCCCGTGTGTGATGGTGTCACACAACCCCCGTGTGTGATGGTGTCACCCAACCCCCGTGTGTGATGGTGTCACACAACCCCCGTGTGAGATGGTGTCACACAACCCCCGTGTGTGATGGTGTCACACAACCCCCGTGTGAGATGGTGTCACAACCCCCGTGTGAGATGGTGTCACTCAACCCCCGTGTGTGATGGTGTCACACAACCCCCCGTGTGAGATGGTGTCACCCAACCCCCGTGTGTGATGGTGTCACACAACCCCCGTGTGAGATGGTGTCACACAACCCCCGTGTGAGATGGTGTCACAACCCCCGTGTGAGATGGTGTCACTCAACCCCCGTGTGTAATGGTGTCACACAACCCCCCGTGTGAGATGGTGTCACCCAACCCCCGTGTGTGATGGTGTCACACAACCCCCGTGTGAGATGATGTCACACAAACCCCGTGTGTGATGGTGTCACACAACCCCCGTGTAAGATGGTGTCACAATCCCCCGTGTGTGATGGTGTCACACAACCCCCGTGTGAGATGGTGTCACACAACCCCCCGTGTGTGATGGTGTCACACAACCCCCGTGTGAGATGATGTCACACAACCCCTGTGTGTGATGGTGTCACACAACCCCCGTGTGTGATGGTGTCACACAACCCCCGTGTGTGATGGTGTCACACAAACCCCGTGTGTGATGGTGTCACACAACCCCCGTGTGAGATGGTGTCACACAACCCCCCGTGTGTGATGGTGTCACACAACCCCCGTGTGTGATGGTGTCACACAACCCCCGTGTGTGATGATGTCACCCAACCCCCGTGTGAGATGATGTCACACAACCCCTGTGTGTGATGGTGTCACCCAACCATCGTGTGAGATGATGTCACACAACCCCCGTGTGTGATGGTGTCACACAACCCCCGTGTGTGATGGTGTCACCCAACCCCCGTGTGTGATGGTGTCACACAACCCCCGTGTGTGATGGTGTCACACAACCCCCGTGTGTGATGGTGTCACACAACCCCCGTGTGAGATGGTGTCACACAACCCCCGTGTGAGATGGTGTCACACAACCCCCGTGTGTGATGGTGTCACACAACCCCCGTGTGTGATGGTGTCACACAACCCCCGTGTGAGATGGTGTCACCCAACCCCCCGTGTGTGATGATGTCACACAACCCCCGTGTGTGATGGTGTCACACAACCCCCGTGTGTGATGGTGTCACACAACCCTCGTGTGAGATGGTGTCACACAACCCCCGTGTGTGATGATGTCACACAACCCCCGTGTGTGATGGTGTCACCCAACCCCCGTGTGAGATGGTGTCACCCAACCCCCGTGTGTGATGGTGTCACACAATCCCCCGTGTGTGATGGTGTCACACAACCCCCGTGTGTGATGGTGTCACACAACCCCCGTGTGAGATGGTGTCACACAACCCCCGTGTGAGATGGTGTCACACAACCCCCGTGGGTGATGGTGTCACACAACCCCCGTGTGTGATGGTGTCACACACCCCCCGTGTGAGATGGTGTCACCCAACCCCCCGTGTGTGATGATGTCACACAACCCCCGTGTGTGATGGTGTCACACAACCCCCGTGTGTGATGGTGTCACACAACCCTCGTGTGAGATGGTGTCACACAACCCCCGTGTGTGATGATGTCACACAACCCCCGTGTGTGATGGTGTCACCCAACCCCCGTGTGAGATGGTGTCACACAACCCCCGTGTGTGATGGTGTCACACAATCCCCCGTGTGTGATGGTGTCACACAACCCCCGTGTGTGATGGTGTCACACAACCCCCGTGTGTGATGGTGTCACACAACCCCCGTGTGAGATGGTGTCACACAACCCCCGTGTGTGATGGTGTCACACAACCCCCGTGTGTGATAGTGTCACACAACCCCCGGCAAAACCCGCCCCAGCGAGTCTTAACTGCTCCAGAACAACAGAACAACACTTGCCCGGACACGGCGCGCTCAGGCTCCGACACAGCAGATGATTGACAAAGTTCTGCAAATTACGTAAATTGTACTCCTTTATTTTATACACTCCCCCCACCCCCTTCGTGCCAAACTCCAAAAGACACCGTGGAAGCGAGATAATCGGAGGCCGGGCTCTAATTACAATAATCGATGCGCGCACACACAGCCAGTGAGGTGTGTGCTCGCACATACTTCCCGCGGGCTGTGGTCGTTCGTTGGCATGGAGTCGCGTGCCCTCAAGTGTGTGCCATCGTCACCATAGCTGCCACGGTCGTCA